TTTAAGTTTGACCCAAGTACACACATGTACAGCTTGTTCTACATTCCATAGGACCACTCAAGAAACATTAAAGCTTGGCCTCTCGCCTTCATTTTCATATGTGTGTCACATACCAAAACCTTCTTGTAGAAGTGCAGGAGACCTTTGATGGAGAGACCCAAGACGCTGCTGGTGGTGTGCAGGAAGAAGGCCTTGTCCAGCAGAGCCCAGAGCAGATCCCCGAAAGTCCCCCGCCAAGCCCTGCGCACAGTGGGGCGGAGGCTGGCGCCACTACCCCTGGAGATGAAAGAACAAACTATAGCAACGAGATCCAATCTCCTTCAAATGAGGCACAGGCCAAGCCCTCACTGGACAATGCTGTGAAGGATGTACTGGTTTTACCACCAAAGCTTAAAGGAGAAGAGCTTGGCGAAACCAATGAGCTTGTGGATGATGCAACTAAAAATGGAGGTAAAATTCATTACCCACCAAGCTCAAAACACGGTTTTATAATTTAAGCCCTGAGTGTAGCTTGTAAGACACTCTTGATGAAGCGCTTTATTCAAGAGAAAAAATTCATCCTTCAGCCCACATATGCATTACAGTAGCATTAAGACCATATGGTGATCATAACTTGTGCTGATAGTATTGGCAATCAGCCTAAAAAATGTATTATAACAACTCCCAATACACTCAATATGTTTGGTTCTCTGACCTATTCTGAGGCCTTAAAAATGTACATACAATTTACCTACCTACATACAGTTTGTCCATACGCCACAAATATAATAAAATCCAAACATTATGAGTCCCATCTCTATGGGAAACTGTATGCCTTATTTGTCCTGGTTATTTTCTCTCCAAATCTATTTTCAGAAACAAGTGTTGAGCTGGGCCTAGAAGCCTGGAAGATTGGGGCTATTTGTGCTGCAGTCCTCCTGGTTTTGGAGACAGTTGTCATCATCGTCTATATCCTGAGAAATCGGAACAAGAACAGGTCGGTAACAGTCTATACCCCACAGAGGTGATTTCTATTGACTCACTCAGCAGGAGCACTCGCTAAATATTCTCTCTGTGTCCAATATTTCTCAGACTGAAGCACAATCCAAAGATGCCTTCTAAAAACCTGCCCAACACTATTATTACTTGCTCTATCTTGCTCAAAGTGTACACAAAATGCATGCTTCCTACAAGCACTTAATAATTCCCACCATAACTGAAGCAGTTTTATAAGATGCAAGATAAGTTTAAGGTGTGCTGTGCAACATTTCTAGTGGAGGGTCCGCCACCTGCTGTCTCCATGGAAATGTTATTGCTTTGTCTAGAATGTTCCACTGTATAGATTAAACCTACCTATCACGAGGAAACAAGCAGGTTATAGCACTCCACTACATTACAATTCAGGTCTTTGGAGAATCACCCTTATGCACAGAAGGAATTACACAAGATAGAAATGTTTAAAGTCATACCATGGAACATTTCAGGCAAAGCAATAACATCTTCATGAAGACAAGTCGGTGGCGGAACCTCCATCAGAAAAGTTGCGCAGTGCATCTTTAACCGATATACCATCACTTTATCTGTAGCTCCATTTTGCCAATCGCTCAAACAGCCATCTGTAAAACCAACAGCACTATAGCCACAGATGGTATGGTTTCTCATGTTGTTGACCAAGCTGCTCGGCTAGCCATTTTGACGCAACATGCAGTTTTGTAGAGAGCAGTATAAAGTAAATTGTTGTATTGTATTCTCTATAGTTCTAGTCGACAGCGGGCGTGTGAAGAGGGCAGTGTGGAGCCAGAAGCTACTACAGGAGGGGACTACAATGATGACACACTACCAGCCAGCAATGGAGACACTCAACAGTACGTTTTATACATGAAAACACAGCATTTAGAGATGTTTTCAGTTCTCTCACACTAAGTTATTTGGGATTATTTTTATGATATGCAATGTGAGAGTATCAGTCACTTTAAAGGTAAATAAACCCACCACCCATTCACTATCTCTAGATGCTATCTACATTACTGCCGTCCAAATTGGGGGAGGTGGAGAATAGGTTTCACATTTGCCAAATCAAATAAACTTGCAGATGGTAGCAAAAAAAAAAAAGAAAAAAGAAAAGAGATTGGTTATAAAGTGATAATTTTGCACTTTTGTAATTTTGTGTATGGTCAATATTTGTCATACTTGTGAGACTTTAACGTAAAAAAAAAAAATATATATATATATATATATATATAGGCATGTTTTATCACACTTCTAATGGATTAGAACATTAATGGGATGATAAAAAATTTAAAATGTAATCACAAAAAGACAACATAATCTTGTACTCTTGTATATGAAATAAAATGTTTATACTGAATTATTTTTAATATCAGAAGCATTCTTTTCAGTTCTACACCACTCCACTCTCTTCGTATCCTTAAACCACATGGCCTCTGTCTAGCTGGTGTGCCAATCTGCTCATGTTCTTTGTTGAATCCCCATAGTCTCTCTGGGAGCCTGATTTTCTGCCTCTACTCAAGTGCTTTCCACAATTACAGTCTACTTGTTAGCAACACCAGCCGGATGCTAACAGACAGTTCCCGGGCGAGTGTGGTGCGGTGACCTGAAAACTGGTATTTTAACAGTAGGCACCAGCTGTGTGCTTCTCAGCTGATTCCCTCTTGGCTGTTCTGTAAGCCGTGTTCTCTGCGTGTCACATGAGAGTGTGAGTCCCGTGAACCCAGGCATTAGCGGGTGTAAGACTGCAATATCTCCTAATCACACTCACCAACATGGATCAATAGTCAACTACAGAGGGCGGTGTAAGGCCATCTGACTGTGTGTATGTGCCTGACAGACGGGCAAAGAAGAAAAATGTGTCAACATGACTGTCTGCTGTTAAGGCAAAAAAAAAAATTCAAATACATGACTGGCAGAAGATAACAAAGCAACACTGAATTATTTAACAGCCGAGGAAATGTGTCCTTGTTAAGAGACTTTGAGAAGCATTGACAATCGCTGGAGAAGGAAACTGATAACAAACAAGCACCTACTAACAAACTTCAGTCTTTGAGAGAGACATTTGAACAACATGGGCAGCAAAGAACCCCTCCATGTTCATGTTCTCTATGGCTGGGAAAGCATGTTATGTGCAAGCCTATGGACCATAAGCATTCACAGAATCTGCAAATGTATGGATACTAGAATATATTAGATGCAACTAGACATATATTTTTGTACATTCAACATTTTGACATTTTTATTACACCGCCTTTGGAAAAGGATTTGGTGAAACCTTTTAGCTTTATGTGATACAACAGATTTCCTCACACAATATGGCGCCAAAGTGACATTAAACATCTGGAGTTTACTTAAGATGGCTGAGAGCCCTAGAGGCTCATCACAAAACAAACAGCACTTTTATAAAACAGTGCACACACAGAACATCGTTACCTGCAATTTGTCAATAATGTCAAAGAATCTATTTATATCCCTAGTCACATAAACTCTAAGACGATTTGCTTTGAACATCTGCTGTAAGACAAGTAAACAGAGCTTTTTGTCTCAATGTTAAATATTGAAAAATAAAGAATAAAGGTTGCATTGGTGTGCTTGCATCAAGAAGAATAAATTAATTTAATTATTACATTCCCAGAAAACAGATACCTTTTCATGTTCTACAGCTACAAACATTGACTATGTCAAAAACTTTCTTTTACAGGACGGGGATTTTAGATCCGTCTAAAGTGGCTTCAACGCTGCTACAGAACAAAGATGAACAGGAAGTGGAACAAGTGATACCCATGTCTGAGCTGCTGCCCAACTCTGCAGAGGACACGGCCAACAGCACAGGAGAGCCCCAGCCCTCACCACACCGCAGGACGCCAGCACTCTGAAGGCCTGACCCAAAACCAGTGCCACTGTTCAGTCCTACACCAAAGTGTCATAACAGTCCAATCATGCAAATGTGTCAACTGCAAAATACACTTCGTTGGTGCTGTTAATGTTAGACTATTCCATTCTATTTGTTGTTTATTATGTTTGTTGTATATAGGTGTGTGAGTAAACTTGTATTAACAGAGGTGTCTGAATGAATGGAAAAAAAATAATTTAAATCAGGAACTGTATTTTGTAAAAAACCTGTTAACTGTCACCACAAGCCAATAATGAAATAAAAAGTTGTTCTTTAATAAATACATATTAACTTCATAAATAATACATACATGCATAATATTGTATTTGCATGTATTTAAATATTCAGATAACTCTGATTTGCATTTTGAGGTTTGACTTTTAAAATAACATTATTGTACAGTTTTGTGATACAGTACCTTTGCAACGAATTCTCATATAATTGGCTGTACAATGACAATGAGTCGATGATGAGTATTGAATAGTGTTTTAAAGGTCTCATATTCCACAAACTGAGTCTTGTGAGCTTTTACCAATGTTATAATCCATCAAAAACATACCTGGAGTTGTGTTTTGTTTCATTCACACATGTTGCAGTAATCCTGTATCATTAGTCTGTCTCTGTCTCCAAAATTCAAAACGCTTTGTTCCACCTTGTGATATTATGTAGTGCTTTTCAAGTTAACAGCTACCTTTATCCTTTCAGTAAATATAGGCAATTCCAGGGCTGAAATTATCATGGTAATTCTAGTTATAAATATAAGTGTATAAAGTTTACCCCGTTACCCCATGACATCACAAGGTGGTACAGTGTTTACAATCTGAGAGAAACCTAAGCATAAATATGTATGAACATGTAAATGAAACAAAATACAGCTCCATGTATGTTTCCGATGAGGAAACAACATTGTAACATAGATCAGATGTGTAATATAGGGCTTTTAATAAAGAATTTTGGAGCCTCTGGTACATTGCTGAGTGCAGTGTGCATAGGTGGTGTGTGTGGTTATACAAGCTCCAGTAAAGTCTGGTCATGCGCTCAGTAGCTATTTAAGCCAGGAAAATACAATGGGCTAACTCTTGGGGGGCTACAGTTCTGGGAGAGAGAGAGGAGCAGCATGCACAGTCAGAGGTAAGGGTACTTAACATTGACCAAAAATTTAATTAACTTTATTATTATTAGTTTACCTGAAGTAAACCTATATCGGCAACTTTCATTCACAACAAATTCAAACTGTACTTTTCTCCAACGGTTTTCTTTCTTTCTTATCTTTCAACAATAATTGCATCAGAAGTCATATTAGTCGCTTTTTCAGTCAATTATATGTTCAAAGGACAGGCAAATCCCACTGCAAATCCTAGCTGAAGCATATCGTCTTTCCCTCTAATGTTTAAGGCATCTCTGCACTTGTATGAGTTGAAAGCTAATGGCTGTGTGAATTATGAATAACGACTGCTGCTGCCTAGAGGGGAATGAGCAAACTTCCGGAGTAATGAGAAGACAATCAGCTTAAACATGAAACAAAGCGACTTACTTTCCTTTACACTTGCCATTCTCTCTGTGGTTTTTACCTCTGTGTTAACCTATATTCCATTGCTGCCTCATTACTCTAGAAATGCCTGAAATGTTCCCTTTTTTCCTCTGTGCTCTCTGACAGCATGTGGAGAGCAGGTGCCTTGGTGCTAACCCTGTGTGCCACTTTAGCGTTGGCGCAGTTCCCCCGAGAGTGTGTGACTCCGGAGGGGCTAAGGAGTGGTCAGTGCTGCCCCTCGCTCAGTGGGCAGGTGGGAGACGAGTGTGGCTCCAGCACAGGCAGGGGGCAGTGCATTTCCATAGCAGCTGACAGCAGACGCCATGGACCCCAATACCCCTACTCTGGACGAGATGACAGGGAGAGATGGCCGCTGAGATTCTTTAATCGCACCTGCCAATGCAATGGCAACTTCAGCGGCTACAACTGCGGGCGCTGTCGGCATGGGCTGACTGGCCCTAACTGTGATCAGAGAGTGTCTGTGGGTAAGGAACCACATTCATCAACAATCCCTTTAACTGTGTTTATCTCATCCCTTTAATGCTCTTGTGTCCTGCTGGGCCTGGCTCATGTGAACAAACAACAGCAAACATTAACTGGTAAAAAAAACAACTGAAGTCTAGATGAATTTTAATCTCATTGTCCTTCACTCCCCAGTGAGAAGAAATATCATGCAGATGAGTGCAGCTGAGAAACAAGCTTTTGTGAATGCTTTGGACCAGGCTAAGAGGACTGTTCACCCTGACCTCGTCATCTGCACAAGAAGGTACATAAATATACACTCAATAATGTTGTGTTCTGATTAATTTTTAGAATCCAAAAATCTTGTTAAACTCTCAGTAAACTGGCATTACACTGTGGCTTTGTAAAAATGCTTTTAAAAACAGCAGGAAATTTAAAAATAACAATATATTCATAATAGAAGTAAGGGGGGAATTATAGGTCAAATAAAAAGGTTCTGAGCAAGATATTATACTGTAAATCAATGGACTTGATAGGAAACATACATAGAATCAAGTTCTACCCTGGCCACATAAGAAATGTAATACAATTTCTCTTCAAAAAAAAAGAAAAGAAAATTAGGTACAGCCATTGCAAATCGTCTGCCCCCTAAAGGCAATAATTTGCATAATTTACTTCTGCACTTGGGACAAACATGAGAAATACAATCATTATATTACTAACAGACTAACACAGTGCTTAAAATCACATGGTATGAACTTGTTTCCTTTACATAAATACAAGTGTGTGTTCATTAGGTATCAGGAGGTGTTTGGGCCCGACGGAAACACTCCCCAGTTTGAAAACATCACAATCTATAATTACTTTGTATGGACACACTACTACTCTGTGAGCAAGACGTACCTGGGGCCAGGACAAGCCAGCTTTGGAGGTGTCGACTTCTCCCATGAGGGCCCTGGCTTTGTCACATGGCACCGCTTTCATCTGATGCAATTGGAGAGAGACATGCAGGTGTGTGAAAGGACACTATGCTTATATTTAGACACAAGAGGAAAACTGAGGAGAAAAAGAAGAGTGTGGGTGGTGGAATAATAAGGCAATATAGTGGAGAAGTGGATTTGGATGAATAGATTAGTACAATTATATACAGTCTGTTAGAGAGGTGTGACAAACTGAATCATAAATACAACAATGTTACATACTACAGTTTTTGATATAACACCTTCCTGTTTATGAGAATTTGGCAAAGGAGCCTAGTCAAAATTATCAGGATCCATATGAAGGTTAAGGTTAGCCTTTATTGTTCCTGTAGGGAAATATTCAAGTTCCAATCCTGCAGTATTTCGATGTAAGATACTGATGGGAAACACAAACTACAAACCCGAAATTATTGATGTAGTAGAAGAATATTTAAAATATGGGGGCTAATTGATATCATATAAACCAAATTATCATCCTTATTTCTTAACTGCTTAGGCCATGAAAATTTAAAGTTTCTTTATTTTAGGGTGGTTGAAAGTATTAAAAATCAGAACTAGATATAAAGATACAAATATAAACAAATAAACAATTTCCTAAATAGATTTTCTATTTCCTAAATAGATGTTGAATGATCTTGAGCATATAAGAAGCTGTATAAGAACTCATGGTAACATAAAGAAATTACTATTATTTTGTATCTTTTTAAGTCTGTTGCTTAAAAATAAACAATTAAATTATTATAATTATTTCTAAATTATCATCGTAGTATAGAAATTGGCATTGAGTATTGACACAATTACTTAAACATCAACATCTTTGAAATTTAAGTATCGTGACAACACCACTTTGTTTAGAATGTATTTTTTTTACTACCGTACACAGCAGCAATATGTCACCTGGCTAATTAACTATCCCAGCCTGAAATGCCATGCTACACTGATACACCTTTCTCTGTAAACATATTTGCACAGTACTGGAGGTGTGTAACTTCAAATTTCTGTGTTTGTTTCCAGGATATGCTGGGGGACCCCACCTTTGCCCTGCCATACTGGAACTTCGCCATCGGGGGCAGCGACTGTGACATTTGCACAGATGACTTGATGGGGGACAGGAGCAGCTTCGAAGTAAACGGCATTAGCCCCAACTCTGTCTTCTCCCAGTGGAGGGTCGTCTGCGAGAGCGTGGAAGACTATGACACGCAAGGCACCATCTGCAACAGTAAGGGCACAACACAATGTCATTCACCACAGGAGAGGGAGGAGAGAGGGAGAGGGCTGCTGATGTACAACTTTGTCTCAGCTGCATCAGAAAAGAGGGCAAAGAGCTCATAAAGAGTGCATGCAGAACGTAAGCGCCTATAAATAAAACCTCACAGCTGTTGTGCTGCAGTCGAAATGGCCTGCAATTTCTGCAGTTTGTTTGCAGTAACAGTTAAATAAATAAAAATTTTAGCCAGACAAAAATGCAAACAGTGAAAATATTACTCCGGACACCCATTTTAACTATAATAATAAAGCTTAAAACCTGCCTTGCCAAAGAATTCCTTTATCCTAGGCCAAGACAAAAAAATAACAGTAATTTTATTAATTTGCCATATCCATCCAAAAACATAATACACTAGAAATGTGGTAATAGTTTTCCTTTATAATCCTAATATCAACTGGACAAAAATCAAGAACCCCTTTCAAATAGACATATATCTGGATGAGTGCTCTAAATAAAACTTTGTAATAGATTTTCCCCTTGAATACAAAATTATATATTCTCAATTTTCTTTTCAGACCCTAGTATCTGCCAGTGACCTTGAGAATTTTGGTGTTATCAAGATTTTCACGTAGTAGACAACAGCATAGTATTGTGCAGAAAAAATCTTGCAACCTGCCACATCAATTCACCAAATCATCTTCAAACAGTTGAACAAGGAGCCAGATGGTTTATAATCAGATTTAATACAGACCTATTCAAATACAATGATATGTTTGGCTGTAGGCTACTGTTGTAAGAAGGATCAGATTTCATTCCACTCCAGATTAAAACCTGCTCTGTTACCTTTTCCCCCATTTTTCCAATGCCTACCACTTGCCTTACAATAATTAGCAATGTCAATCCACTTGTTCTGTTACAAAGATGGGAGCTCCTTTTGAACAATTTCTCATAGAGTGAAAAGAGTCAAGAATTTGGTTCATGTGAGCAGTATCTTGTGAGTGATCAGCCTCATTAATTCCCTCAGAGATTTGAAGCAGGTTTGGTATGTCCTGCATCAACAAGCATCATCGCCTTAAATGGGTGAAGGGGAGGGAGCGGGAGCCTCGTTTGTGCTAGATGAAGACAGGAATCTCAGTTTCTTTGATCTGGGGGAATAATCTTCAAACAGGCAACTTGGTTATGTAGCTCTCTTGTTTTCGTGCCCATGTGAGTGCATATGTACTAGGAGAAAAGGGGAAGGCACAATCAACCACAGTCACAATGCTCCTACTCACTACTGTTGACTGGTACTGAATAATAGACAACGAAATGTGCCTCGCTGTCATGTTTAAGTCTGATCAAGCTAGTCTAGTCTTCTATGGAATTAGAGGGGGGATAAATAATGCAATGTTTCTAAACAGTCTAATATTCTGTGGGGACCTCTGGCCTACATATGAACTTGGTGGCCTACTAAACAAAAAGTTCAGACAAAACAAAACTTTAATGGGAGTACATGTGCAGCTCTTGTAGAGGATTTCAAATATCCAGCCATTACCTAGATGCCTATAGGCCTGTCACAATAGCAAATTTAGTATACATTGTTAAAGAAAATAAACGCTAAATGATAATGTTAAACTAATTTATGCCACTGACACAATAGCCCTACAGAAGGATAAACCCCAAAATTATTCTAAATGTATAATATGGTTAAAAAAAAAAAAACTGAAGCCATTTTAATCACTTTAGTAGTGAGTGTGTGTATTCATATTGAGCCATAGTTACCTCCGCCAAGGAGGTTATGTTTTTGCCGGCGTTTGTCTGTTTGTTTGTTTGTTTGTTTGTTTGTCTGTTAGCAACATAACTCAAAAAGTTATGGACCGATTTTGATGAAATTTTCAGGATTTGTTGGAAATGTGAAAAGGAAGAACTGATTTCATTTTGGGGGTGATCCGGAAGAAATCCTGGATTCTGGATCACTTTGAAATTTTTGTTAACATTGTGGTAAATGGGGCCAAAAATTTTGTTTCTCAATATCTCGGTTAATTATTGACCAAACCCCATGAAATTTGACTCAGGGATGGACAATGGGATCCTCTTTCATATTCCAAAGGCTGATCCAGATCTGATCCAGAAGACTGATTTTATCGCAATTTATATAAAAAATGGGGGTAGTCCTTGGCGGAGGTCTGCGCTCTCTGAGTGCTTTTCTAGTTATTTATGCAACCCTCCAGAGCTCAAATCTGATCACAGGACTGAAAAATACCAAAAAGTTCCTCACTAGTACAAAGAAAAAGTCCACAAAATAAATGCTTACTCCCAAAATGTAGTTTTCCATCAAACATATATTAAATTATATGTTGAAATAGTAATTATCATGAGATCTAGAGTGGTTCAGGAAATAGCCCCCCAGTTAAGTGAAGGTTGGGGGAAGCTCACATCCATTCATTCATATATTAGTTTATCATTATCTTAACTTTCTTTGGCTTATCTTCTAGGAACCTCAGCAAATCTATTTAGATGCGATACTACGAGAGTATAATTATACGATGTGCTAAGGACATTTTAATGCAATCCATTACTGTTACCACTACAATACAGATACTGAGACCAGTCCCATCAGGAGGAATCCAGCAGGGAATGTGGCCCGCCCAATGGTCCAGAGACTGCCAGAGCCAAAAGATGTTTTAGACTGTCTACAGCTGAATACGTTTGACACGCCTCCTTACTACTCCACCTCATCAGAGAGCTTCAGGAACACCATTGAAGGTAGCTACATGCAAAGTACACAAAGTAAAATGGATGATAAAATACTTTTGAAATAACTCGCTGATGAATCTCAAAGCCAGAAACTAGAGTCGCGCTCCATACTCCACCCACACTCACATATGGTTTGCTCCAACACAACATTTGTTATTGCTAATTTTGGAAATACACTTATTTCACGTGATGCCTTTTGTCTATTGTGTTTTCTAGGCTACAGTGCCCCCCAGGGGACATATGACCCTGTTATTCGGAGCCTCCATAACCTGGCCCACCTCTTTTTGAATGGGACAGGAGGGCAGACTCACCTCTCACCCAACGACCCCATCTTTGTCCTGCTGCACACATTCACTGATGCAATCTTTGATGAGTGGCTCCGCAGACACCAACCCGGTACATTTACTCTACTTTCATTCACTCATTTTTGTTTTCATTTATAGTAATAATGTTTTACAGGCCTGTAGTAAGAATTTATGTCTTTTGTATGGTGACATGTTGCTAAAAATATATTTTAAAAAGCAGTGACACAGGCTTTTGTCCTTTGTGAAACTTTGAAATTAGAATGAAGAGTGATTGTATATGTGTGCAGGTGAGGTTGTTTATCCAGAAGAAAATGCTCCTATTGGCCACAATCGCCAATTCAACATGGTTCCATTCTGGCCTCCTGTGACCAATGCTGAGATGTTCGTGGCTGCTCCAGAGAACCTGGGCTACTCCTATGAAGTAGCATGGCCTGGTCAGTTCTTCTAATACATGCTTTAAGTGTTTATATCCACTAACGAACCTTTGATAAACATGGGTGACTGTTCCTCTCTCCTCTGTGCAGAGCGTGAGTTCACAGTCTCTGAGGTCATCACCATAGCCATTGTTGCAGCGGTGCTGGTGGTGGCAGTGGTCGGAGGGGTCATTGCATGTGCGGTCCGTGCTCGGACCTACAGATCAGCTGAGGGACTGGAGCCACTTCTGGGAGAGACTTTCCGTCGATATTCTGAGGATGACAGGAGACTGGACAAATCACAATCAGTTGTCTAAAAAAATGCCCTTAAAAAGGCCTTAACATTTAATGCATAACTTTTGTTTTTGTACTCCCTCTAAACTTCTAATAAAGCTGAACTGGTTTTGAACTAAGAGCTGACTGTGTGGGTGACATTTTGATGACAGTAAATTGTGAAGTTTGTAGTAGAAGGGAGGTCAGACAGTCTGTGTCAGATAATAAAGCGGAAAACGGCTATTTTTGGCACACCTACTGCAGGTTGTATTTAACCCGCTTCCTTCACAATAGGATGTAAACATGAGAACTCAAGACAGAAATATAGAGCCTATATTGGAGCTCAACCAACTATTACACCGCACACAGACTCTCTAGACCACAGGTGTCAAACATAAGGCCCGGGGGCCAGATCCGGCCCTCCAAGACCTTTAATCTGGCCCTCGGCTGATTTTCTACTAAAATATTTTAATTATATTTTCTATTAAAATATTGGTAATTTTCTGCGCCACTTAGTATAGCAGCGTCTCCAGCGTCTCTGTGCGTGGCCCCTCCCACCAGAGCAGCACAAATGAAGACTTGTCTCTTTCCAAACGCTCTTAAATCGATCGAGTTGACGATCGTTTTGACTGTTGACCATGACACCCTCATCAGCAAAATGTCCAACATGAGAAAAGTGGAGCCGAGTGCAGGATTTTCCAAGAAAAATCGACTTATTCCTATTTGCAAACAAGTTCATGTTAAAACATTGTGTTGAAATTGCATTTTTTTTTAAGTTTCAGGTTGTTCATCTGAATATAATATTTTTTTTTTTTTAAAGAGTTCATCGTTAAAAAAGATTTCTGTAATAGTTTTGTGTTTCTCTGCACAAATATTTGAAGTTATTGTTATTTTTGGGGTTTATATGACATGAGTTTTCTGATCCGGCTCCTTCAAAGTAGGTTGGATACGGCCCCCCGACCAAAATGAGTTTGACACCCCTGCTCTAGACAAGACTATAGCCTATAGTTAGAATACATCGATCAAAACATAGCAAATAACAAATGCAATTTGGCATAAGGGGATTCTGGTGCAGTGCTAAATTAGCAAACATTTAGCACTGCTGTTAATCAGTTGGTATTTCTAATATTTTACAGCATGAATAACAGTAATGACTTACCAGTCACCTGTTACGGTCATAGGCGGAAATTATGGACACGCATTTTAATGCAAAAAGTTAAATATCTAATTTACTTTTTTAATCAACTTATGAAACTTCAGGGGTGAAGTGTGGAAGGCGCCAACGCAACGATCAGTGGTTCATTGGAACACAGACACTGCCCCTGTGTGGTGAAAGAGCGTTACTGCGCAAAATGCAGAAACCCAAAATATATTTTTGCCAAAACATTGCTATTGCTATTCCTGAGTTGTTGTTATTTTTTTTCATAGTTTAATAAAAAATAAATCGTAATTTTACCATATCTATAGACACATTGGCATCAGCATGGTATCTGCTCCTATCTGTTCCTAGTTTATGCTGTGCAATAAACTGCCTATTTGAAGTTACTGTTGTGCATATCTTAATTTAACTCAAAGAAAAAACTGAGTCAGCAACTGCCCAAAAACATTCTGCAACACATCTTGTGGCTCATGGGGATAACTGGGAAAAATAAAAGTCTATTTACAGCTATTTGGCTGTGCTTTGTGTTCAGACAGGGTACACTAACTGAACAAATATGAGACGAAAGAACAAGCACTTGGCTGCTTGTCTCTGGCTATTTCAAAGACCTAGATCAAAACTTAGGATGCTTTTAAAATACACAGAAACATTAAGTAATAATGTGTACATTGTTTTTATTCATGGTTACTTTATTTGTCATGCTTACAATTTAAATAATATATCTTAAAATCCTTCTTGTGCCAGCTTTTGAAATTGGACGTGATTCATCTGGGGAAGGATAAAGCAGACGCTGTTGCCTGGACTTCAATAAAGCCCACAATGTGAACAGATGGCTTTGATTAATGCAGAGCCACCAGCAGAATCTCCCCAGATAACTCCTGTTTTCTAAATGAGACATTTGTGTGCAAATGTATTGTTTGTCTCCGCTAACTATCTTAATTAAAGGTAATTTTGGTCCATGTGGAATCAGGTTGAAAATATCTCCAGTATATAATTCAATGTGGATTCTCTGTGGATTTTTAACAATCTATGAAAAGATGCCTCTATAATGCTCTTACAAGACAACAAGATTAAGTCTTTAAAATAATCCAGTCACTAAATGTATAGTCAAGAGCAAACATTTATTGTGTCATAATATTATTACAATCAGTTATGTTATGTTGTTCACAGACAGCTGAAAAAGAATGAGAACAGATCACACTTATAAAACAGTGGCTTCACATTAAGACTGTAAATATGAGGCTTCACATTAAGACTGTACATAAAACAATAACAAAATGGCTAAAAACAAGTTATAAAGACTATGAAAACAGCAACAAACAAGTAATAATATCCTGAAGCAAGCTTTGTGTCACATATACAGTAAGTTGCTCGCGACCATTTGCAACTTCTTTATTTGTGATGGCTATTGATGCTATCTCTGAAATGAATATTTAATACCACATACACATAACTACTACTTATCTATCGATTATGAGCCTGTGTAGAATAATCCATGAACACAAATAATTAAAATAAATCATTATAGTAAAGCCATATAAAAATGTATTGGCAGAAGCACTTGGCATGGTTCAGGTCTTTTGACAAACCTACACTTTATTACTATCATAGAATTATTAGGCTGAACAAGTACTTTGTAATTGCAGGACTTGGTACTGAAATATAAATAACTTAAAGTGAAGGTATAATGAACTATACTGCACTGGTGGATTGATTTTGACATTATGTTGCCATATTCACCTATAATCAAGCATTACAGAATACACCTTTCTTTTGCAGTTTTTATACACATACAGATGTCAACATAAAATGCTCATTTATAATCATAGTGGTTCAGTAAGAGCTTACATTGCTGATTTTGTTAAGCCTACTTTCTCAGTTTATTTTTATCTGTTCTGTTCATCTTTCCTTAAGACAGTACAGTGAGGACCACAGTTCCCTTGGTCTTCTTAAGGATTTCTACAGCCTCAGCATGAGTGACTCCTTCAAGACAATGTCCATTCACAGCAATAATTTGATCTCCACGTTTTAGCTGACCATCTTCTATGGCTGCACCCTAAAAACAAAATATTGATGAGATAGCATACTCTGTGCATTTACATGAACCAATATAATTTCCATGAGGTATCTGAAACATAAAGGGAAATAAAGTCCCACGTGATGAAATACATTTTTATTGTAACACAGTGGAGTGTCTGTTGTGAAATAGTCCATTATAAATGTGCATTTTAACAGACCCCTGAAGTGAAATTCACATGAAATACGTGTCCCTGGAGGATTGTCTCTCACCTTGTTGAAGACAGTTTTCACATAGATGGGCAAATCTCCATGGGGGCTTCCAAACCCTCCCACTATGCTGAAGCCCAGACCATAAGAGCCTCTCTCCAGGCTGATAGTCTTGTACTTGCGAGCACTGCGGGACATAAAGAAAACAACAGCAATTGTAATCAAACAAGAACGTGAATATGTCCATGAACAGAAGATATTCAGGTTATTTAACGTTATGGCAACAAACATAGGCAAATAAGTAGCTGTTAGTGGCCACTTATAGTAGTTAAAAGTAGCAGTAGTACAAATAATATTTGCAGCAGCAAAGGAAGTAGCTCTTCAACCAATCAGCAGTTTGGCGGTTCAAACCATTTTCAGACCAAGTGCACTTTACCTGCCTTTACTTCAGTGCTGATGTGTTATGAATGAGAGTGTGTTTTGAGTGTGATTAAAATTTGCCCATGGCTGAAACTCAGTGTATACATCAACCTGCGCTGTCCCAACAAACTAAACACATAATAGTAGCCATTTACATTACAGTTTACAATAACAAATGTTTTAATAAATCAAACATTACCACAGCTTGTTGTGTCGGCATGGCAAGCCGCTGGGTTGTTCTAATGATGCTGAAGAGCTTTCACTGGACTCCCCTGTGGTACACTCATTCATGGATGAAGTCACCTAAAAACATTTTAACAATGTTATAATCTGTATCATATATACAAACAGTGAATGCAAAAAAAAATCTTCAGAGTATTAAATTAGACTCCATGTATAATCAGTGTCATAAGCCTAATTATCATTTAATGACAGTGTTTGGCTTATTTCAAAAGATTGAAAGGATGAATGAATTGAAAAGATCTGTCTGAATTCTCCCTCTGTGAACAATAAGATGCCATTGCACCAATTGTTTCTGTTTCACGTCTGTTAAATCTGTGTCATTGTGTCATTGCTGACATGACGGAGGAGAGGCTCACAGTGACACATGACCCTGTTGCTGCTCCCAGACTGTAATGAACAGTGTGCTGTCACTTTTACCTCCAGACTGACACTTCCACTGGTCGTCTTCAGCAAGGCCCCGGCGTGGACATGAGTCATTCCCTTTGTAGACACATCATTAATACTGACGATCCTATCTCCAGCCTAAACAGGTAATTATCAGTTAATTCATAATAAGTTTACAACAAAAATCATTCAAACCCTTAAATAGACTGTCACAGCACGTAGACCATTACTGATCAGTTACAATGAAATCTATGAACACTTCTCACCTTTATTTGCTGTGTTTGGGCAGCCAAACCATCAGTATCCATTGTGGCAATAAAAACAGGCTCATTTCCATGGGGACTTCCAACTCCTCCAGCCACACTAATGCCCAGAGAGTCATATGGTCCCTGTGTAAGCACAAAACAGCATGTACACCTCTAGACAATTACAATAAGTCATACAACTTGAAAATGAGCAAATTATCTTTCTTACCTTGTTTATTGTAACTCGTCGTATGTCTATTAGAGCAAAGAGAGAAGTGTAAGAACAATCAGGTATGGATAATATGCAAGAGTTTGATGCAGCTCTTACTGATAACAACTGTAATGCTGATTTATTCTTAAGACATGATGGCAAAGTTGTTTATATAGTTGTTAGTATATGTAAGAGGAGTCTCTTATTTTGGGTAGCCAGTTTCAGTGCTCACAAATCCAGATGGTGTGAACCTAAAATGCCTCTCTCTGATCTGAATGCTCACTACCTAAAACCTGCACCTGCTGCTAGTCATGAATGAGTGCTAGTGCAGCCTCTGCAGCTCAGTTTGGAGGTTGTGAGCTTTCACATCAGGTGTGTGTCTTCTAGGTTAAAGCACTGGCAACCAGTTTCAGTTGTGATTTTTTTTTTTTTTTAACTGTAAGAGGATTCATACATTTCCTTTAATTGAGGGGCATACTCACTGTAGCTCCCTGTTTTGTTTTCTGTCTCCGCCTGGTGGCCAACTGATGCATCACATCCACTGGTCGGCGTCAAGGTTGAACAATCAGAGTCTTCGCTCTGGATAAAACATAACTTAAAGTACTCCTAGGTTCACAAAGTACTACTGTTAAAACATGCATCATAAAATGAACTCAGCTACAAACTATATTCACTGTTGTAGGTGAGAGGGACAATACAAATGTAAACACTACTGGGGAAAATGCACACAAAGCATAAATACATATTTACCTGGCTTCGCTGTGAGTACTGCAGACCAGCTTTAAAGCGAGCCACTTCCAAGTGAACAATGACACTCCATTTCTAAAATCAAAACACAACAAAAGTTATATGAAATGTCCAAAAAACAAAACTTATAAATAAATGCAATTTTGTTAAATAATAGACCTGTAGAAGTTTCTCAGCATGATCCTGAGAGGCTGCTCGGACATCTTCCCCATTGATTGACAGGATCTGGTCACCTAGCAACAACCTGCCATCCAAATCTGCTATTCCCCCTCTAATGATATCTGACACAAAGATGCCCGTGTCATTACTGTCAGGAAAAAAAACAGAGGTCAAAGTCTTTTTCCATAGCCATAAAATATGCTGCATTAAATAACCCATGCACCTCTTTTGCATAATGTCACACTTCATTGTATAAAGGACAGACATGGCAATAAAGTCTGCCCTTATAGACTGCACACATTTTATTAACTCTATATGCTCTGCCTCAATATATATGGCAATAATAATATTTAAGACCTAAAACAAAACCCATGTTGTGTATCTTGAGCTATTTCTTCTTTAGTGGTATGTGTGTTGATACTTTGCAGTGACCTCGTGCTGGGGGTGTTCTACATGCAGATCATGGTGATACAATGCACACATTAACAAACGCAGCCAAAAAAAGTTTTAAGATTGTCAGAAAACTCAAGTATAATAATAATTATACATAACACTCAAGATACAATATAATACAAAATGGATTTTCAGTGTTCATGATCCAGTTTAGGTGTTGGATGTTCAACAAAAAAGGTGAGAGTGACTAACTGAAAAATGGTTTGATAATGCTAGATAGATTATGTAATTTTATGTGTGAGAGACTTCTTTAACAGCACAAATCATCTCACCTCTTGTAGTTCCAGCTAAATCAGCTTGTTCAGGTCAGATTGTGTTAAATCAAAGCTCAGGCTAGTCAAACTTAAGTCACAATGCTTCAGATTGAGTAGTACCTTCAGTTAACATCAACAATATTTATGTAAAAGTGCATACCTTTTCCCCACAATGGTAAACCCTAGTCCCTCTCCGGATCGAGGCCTCAGCTCCAGACTGAAGACGTCCCACAGGTCCTCCTCCCTGTAGGCCTCCTGGTGTCTGAAAACACACAGAGACACTCTCTGTGTGGTCAGACGCAGCACCCCAATGGCCTCGTCGTGAGTGGCCTGCCGCAGGTCAATACCATTAACCTGTATCACACAAAATGAACACCATCAGATTTCAATTAGCACGCAGGTATAATAATGACGTATTATAGGTGCACTGTGTAACTATTCTGGTGAAGGGTCCATCACCTGCTTCTCTCCATGGAGATATTGTCTGGAATTTTCTACAGTCTGGCATTACACTTATATATCTCTATGGAGACAGCAGGTGACACCACAGGGCCAAGTTACATGTCAGATCTGTGGAGAGGCAAGCCCACTCACATTAAAAATGCCATTTTCTATGCCAATAAAACTCATTTTAATGCAATGTGTAAATGCAAGATGGATATGTTTAATGCTGTACTGGGACATTCGAGACAAAAAATTACATCTCCATGGAGACAAGCAGGTGGCGGAGCCTCTGCCAGAAAAGTTACACAGTGCACCTTTAAGTATTATCAAGTATAATTTACTTTGAAGTATCTATTTACTGTCATTTAATGTCAGTAGTGTTATTTCAGTCAGAGTATGAGTAATTATGTGGTGGGTAATACATTTCTAATATCATTTTTAATGCCTTTCATTTGATCTTGGGTTAGATTTTATCTTTGCACAATATCAATGTAGCACATTCCTAATTAATCCATTTTGGTTCACTAACCATGGCAATAAAACTTTTTCTTATTCTGATTCTAGTCTTTTCTGTGATTCAACAATCCTATTATAAGTAAATGCAAGGTATACAGTTGTCCCTCATTTAGATAAGTGCCTATCTTTGTTTTTAATCTACCTCTAAAATCTGGTCTCCAGCCTGCAGTCTCCCATCTCTTTGTGCTGCACCTCCGTCATTCACCTCATGGATTATTACTGCCCCCTGGTGGACAAAAACATAAATTCTTTTCTGTTCATAAATAGAATCTGAGCACTGCAGCCTTGTGTTATTAAAACATTTCTCAACAGATTGACTCACCAGCAATGTGTCACATCCTCCAACAATACTCAGACCTAGACCAAGATTCCCTTTGTGAATTTCTATTGCAGTTTCTTTTCCAGGCACAATAGGGCAGTTTTGTGGGTCAGTAGAGTCAGGAAAAGACTTCAGCCTATCAGGTAAGATCTTTGTTGTAGAGTGTGTATTAGGGACTTGTGATGGGGAGGATGAGGTAGAGAGATTGATGGAGGAATATTGAGAGAGAGATGATATGGAGGTGGGAGGAGGCAGAGAGGGGTTCTTGGAATGGCTTCCTGACAGTTTGACAGTGCCCCCGTGTTTGCAAATCTGACTGGACACCTGAATACAGAAAAGACAGCTAGTATATTACATTATTTAATCAAATATGACCTTGTTTTTGCGTGTTTTTGACAGCATGTCTTGTCCACCTTGTCTACTGAAGATACAGGTTCATCTCTCGCTCCTACATTTCTGTCTCCAACGTTTATTCGTCCATCCTAGACACACAAAAGCATAATGTTGACGTGAGAGAGGAAGTCAGAATAATTATTACATACACAGCCTGTGGGCAAGTGCCTTAATAAATAGGGCCCAGAGTCCTACATGAAAGCTTATTAGAAAATGATGACATTATGAGCATGACAACCTTAAAATGTACTCAATATAATGTTATTGGATTGGAAACTAGATCATCACTAATTAAGTGGTGATGCACATACATTTTCACACTATGAAAGACATGTTAGTAGACTGAGGGGCTTATTAACACATGTATAATATACCTGTAAATTAATCAAGCCTATTTTAAGAACTACCCCATTTCACAAGAACAAATATATGGAGTAAAGGCTAATGCATTTGAAACAATTTATATCAAAGACTTAAGTAATGCTTTTATTTTATTGACCCAATGTGATAAGAGTTTAGAATTTTCCAATATCTGGATTAACACAGCATTCTATAGCAAACTAGTTTGTTCATCTGCTGCCTGAAAATGTATACAGACACCAACAAAGCAATACTAGAAGAACATACTTCCTGTGATACATTTGTGATATATTTTTAAATACTGCCATTGTCAAGGTTGAAATAATACAACCTTTCTCATAGATAGAGGGACTGTTCATATCTCACCTTTCTCGTAGTTCCTAGCTGTAGAACCGAATCGACAACCACTGCTTCATTAACATTATCGTCACCTAATTGACTAAAATCCTTGTGATCCTAGATTAGAATATGCAAGAATGATATTTACAAATAATGCAGTGTTAATAATAATAAAAGTGACATTCTCACGTTTAGTGAGAAATAGTGACAATCAAGAAACTCTAAAATTCATACATATAAACCACTTTGGCATCACAAAAAGAATCCCTTTGAGACAATTTAGCATTAGCTTGTACCTGAGGTATCGTCATGTGCTGGATGTCTTTGGGTGACCCTGTGCAGTTTGACTGGCAGTTAGCACTGTCCTCACACCCTGTTCTTGAGCAGTGTCCAGTTTGACCTAGAGCTGCTTTATTCCTGGAGGTAACAGCAAGAAAACCTGTCATCATGTTCTGTTGATCACGTTCTAGTCTTCTAAGAAAGATAGAACATCGTTACCTAATAAGGATGATCTTGACTTTGGCAGGAGCATTGTTGATGATGGTGGTGGCATTCTGGTGACTACGGCCATACAAGATCTGACCATTGATCTGAAGTAGTAGAAATGATAATACTATGAATACTTGTTTTATTTTCGCTCTACTGCTACAGACACAAAAAGAAAAAAAAGAGAAATAAACAAAATATCATTTTATAAGAATAATACATTTTTCATTCATTTTTTGGTATATTATAGTTTATAAATTTCATTTTCCATTATTTATTTTTATGTAATACTGGGTTAAAATTAAAATGGCTATTTTCAAAAGTTGTATAGAATGTTAAATGAACCTTGTCAAATTTAGATGATGTAATCCCTCATTCGTCCTGGAGTGGTTCAACAACCCATAAGGAGGTCAAATAGAATAACAAGGGCAGGGCCGTTTCACTCTAAAAACTTCTCTCTTTTGGGCTGAACTTAGTGAACTCAGAGTAGGATAAATTCTAGTGCCTCAAACCAGGACCATCAATTTGAAAATGCCTTCTAAATGGGAGCCAAAACGTCTTCATTGCAAAAACAGTGTCCAGATGATCACCTTTGAAACATTCTCTACTTGTCTACATTATCTTCATGTTGTATCCCTTACCTCCAGCAGTTCGTCCCCCTCCCTGATCCTCCCATCTAAAGCAGCGGGCCCTTCAGGCTCTATGTGCTCCACATAGACACTCATCCGGGCCCTGGAGCCATCCTTGTTCCCCGTCAGCCGGATCCCCAGCCCCTGAGCGGCCGGGTCCTTCTCCAGCTCAATCATATGGAGCTTCCCAGACAAGCTGCCATACCGCTCAAGCATCTTTTCTATGGTTAACAAACAGGAGGCTGTTAGCAGAAGGGGATGATGGGAAGTCACACACACAAAAATTGTGACATGCAGCATGTAATGACCGACACTCTCTGTGGAGGGAGCGATAGACCCTAGAGCTGCCTGTGTGTGTACAATTTGTCTGGAAGGAAATGTCAGCCATGTTGAGGAGATGACAGATGTCTATGTTCCACGTCTCTCCATAATGCACCATAATACGGAAATAACTATGTGTATATAGGGCATGGGCTACTGTTTTAAAAATAAGATATATGATATATGCCCCTGAACAAAACTCATTATAAACTGAAAACTACAAGACTTTGGTTGAGTTAATTAAGCTAAATAAAAACTGTACATACGTACACATACATACATGTACATATACTAGTATTCATAATGTAGACCACTGATCTATCTACCATTTGAGCCTTAAGATAGCATATGCAAAGCAGATCCTCTAAAGTTAGAGAAAAGTAAATGATTATGCAGCACAAACCCCCCAGAAACACTACTTGTGTTAAGCCCAGAATGAATAAAGTGGACTACAGCGAACAAACGTATGCAGACTAAACTGTTGGTAACTCACTTTTAACATCTAAGGCAGTCTGTCACATTCAGCGGAGAATAGTAAGTGTTTTATGAATTTCCCTTTTTCAAGACATAATTAAATGCAATATCCAAAATCCAGGGGGAAAAAATGAGCTATTGGTAGTTTCCAGATTCTCCAGGGCCACATACGGCCCTTTGTTTGACTATGACTAGCCCCTTTAAGCTAATTTGGAATTACAAAATAAACATATTTTATAATGTTAACTCATGCATGGACTAAATTGACTTTTTATTTTAAAAAAATAATAAAAATAAATGAATACAATTAATATTATGCAGAAACATTTTGGCCTGGCCCTCCACAATATTTTATGTTTCTCATGTGGACCCATAGAAAAAATAATTGTCCACCCCTGCCATAGACTGCAATGATGTCATGCTGCCATTTGGGGGCAAGTGCCAATTTTTCCTGTTGATTACATTGTACTTGCCATGAAAACCCAAAAGGTAAAATCACCAATGTTGAACCTAATCATTTCTATTACTGACAAGACCCAAGAACTCTCTGTATTACAACAAAAAAACTAAATTTTAACAATATACATTTTTGCTGCCCCATTCTGTATTAAATATAATTGGTCTATAAAATGTTGTTGTAATCTGAAACACTGCACTTGTCTATAGAAATCTCATAAAAGGCAAACACATATTTACTCAAACCTGAATTAGACTATGCTAAAATAGTTGGGTTTTAAGGTACACTTAAATTGCTTTATATTGCATTTATTTAATTACAACGTATGCATTATTTCTGTGAGCATGTGTGCTTCTCCACAAATTTAAGTGTGACTTGGCTGGAGATGTTTAATGCCATATTCTGGAACGTTCCAGGCAAAGCAGTAATATCTCCATAGTGCACATTCATTACGTGCTCTTATGTCTCATTGTAATGTTTTACACTTACTCCTGGCAGTATCGTCATCATCTTGTGCTGCCGTTTGTGTCTTTGATGGGACAGTGTGGGGGCTCCTCCGATCCGCTCTCTGCAGTGTTGGTGAGGGCACCTTAGGGAGAAGTGATTCTGCATTATTGAACAGGCAGGGAACGTGATGCCTCAGGGGTCCTTTGGGCAGAAGTTGGACTACCCCTGAGGCTTTGCTTGATGTGCTTGAAGAAGTGTTAGCGTAAAAAAAACGGAGCAGGATGAATTAATGAACATGGTTTCAATCTAGGTTAAAAATAACATGAAAGATGACCAGAATGGTGCATTAGTTTTCAGCCATCTTACAAGTACATGGGAAGTAACTTCAAAAGAATACACAACCATCTATTTTGAGAACTTTACATCTCCATCAAAGAGGAAAACAACGGGTAGAAACAAACAAGGTGGATGTGAGGGATTTTAACTACAAGGGATGTCTGTGCAAGTATGCATAATAATTAAGTTTCATGAAGTTGACTTAGTGTGAATGGTAATGGAAAACAAACCGCAGTCAGGCATAACATTATGAGCACCTAAAGCTCATCTGCTCTTTCAACACCTGTCGCCAAATTCCTGTACCTTCATTAGACCACTGTATATACTGTCAAATGGACACTACACAAAAGAACATTGTGTTGTTGGACAAAACACTTCACCCACTCCAGTGTAGAAATGTGTATATCATTTTCATTTATAATCACTGCACTAGCCCAACAAAGAAAAAAAAAGGCAATGTCATTCAGCAGAAACTGACTCTGGGCAGCTTAAGCGATATCATAATGATGTCCTTAAAACATTTTGTTTAATCCACACATGTTCGAGTAAGCAGTTATTATTAGTCTGTCTACATCTCCAATGCTCTGTTCCACCTTGTGATGTAATAAAGCAGTAGTTTCTAAGTTAACAGCTACCTTTTACCTTATGTTCAGTAGAGATTGGCAATTCCTGGGCTGAAATTATCCAAATGATTCTAGTGAAGGTGTATGGAGAGTAAAAATATAGTGGAACAGTTCCTGTATTACCTTATGATATCACAAGATAACATACTGTTTTCTCTTTGAGAGAAGCACACTATTGGCATATTTAGGCTGTGTTCATTTGTCTTTGTGTGTTAAACATGCGTGAATAAAAAAACACAAAACTAGGTATGTTGATGAGAAAACAACATTATAACATAGATCAGAAAATAATGTAATATGGGCACTTCAAAATACTGACATAACTCTGAATTACTTTCAGCTTTTCAGTTTTCAATTTATGACTTGTTCATAAAGTTATGCCTGAAAAACACCACATCACACGTAGATACATGCACGACAATACCAACCTTAAAGGGAGTAGGAGTGTAGGGATTGGTGGGGGAGAGGTTATGGAACAAACCACTGTGGGCTTCCTATAGTTATAAAGGAAACACATATAGACCTATGTATAAACAAATCACCACTAAAATAAACCAGTACATTTCTAAATATACTATAGGTTATTTTGGTAGGCTATAAAAGAGTAAATGACTCATATGATTTTATTGAGTAAGTGAGAAAATAGAGCATTCATTTGTTATCTAAACATTATACATGACTCCCAAGTTTTTATGCTAAAATAATCTGACAGAAAGTTTCCCCGCTAACAAAAATAAATTTACCAAGTGACTTTTACCTTGTTGCCGTGGGAGTTGGATAGTGGACCTGGAGTTAGTCGCTCACTGTTACTGTGCATAGGAGACTGTGGGCGAAACACAAGATGCAGAGTAGGCAAATTTAAATCTGTGTGCCTCAGAGGAAGAAGGTCTATATAGGTACTATGGTGTGGTACGTAGCAGTATCTTTTCACTGTTTTATAATAAGGCCAGGCAGCCAGTCATACATATTATATTATAGTATCTTTATCTATAACAAAGCACTTTCTTGCATTGTGAATCTAACCCAGTTCCGTGCTACTGTATCCGGCCTTTTCCAATTATAAATTACCTGGGATCGGTATTGTCCTGACTGCACCAGAAACACCACAGATTCTCCAGCTTTGCGAATGGCCTCCACTGCCTGTTCATGAGTGGCTTCTCTGAGATCCACACCACCGACCTGAGGCACAACAGTTAGGGATAAATGAAGTCATTAGTTAAACCATAACTGATAAATTATTAAAATAAACTAATATCAATTAATTTGTCCTCTGGGGTAATGTGATGTATAATTGTATATTATTATTATTTAAATTCTGATAGATGGCAATTTGACTAAGAATGTTAAAAGCTAAAAATGTTAAAGGTCAAATATTGATTCTTGTGAGCTTTTAGATATGTTATAAAGCCGTTACCTCATCAAAACATACCTGAAGCTACTTTTTATCTTTTGTTTAGTAGAGATTGACAATTCCAGAGCTGAAATTATGGAAATGGTTCTAGTGAAGGTATTTAAAACCATAGTGGGGCACTTCCTGTATTACCACATGACATCACAAGGTGGAACAGTGTTTTCTGTTTGAGAGAAGAACTCAGCCTAAATATGCAGGATTTGTGTGTTAAACTTTATGAATGAAACAAAACACAACTCAAGGTATGTTTGTAATGAGGAAACAACATAAGACAGATCAGAAAATAGTGTAATATGGCCCTTTAATATTAATTTCTATGAAGTTTTTGTGTAAAAGATGGAGAGGTACTTTGCGAACAACAAACAGGAGTTCAAGTGATCTAACCAATCTGCCATGGTAGCATTTCTTTTCACTTACACAAGAACATTTCATTACATTTACTCTGAAAACCCATCCACTCTAGCTACAATAACTGAGCTACTTTCAGTCCAGCCTCCACATCCACACATCCACAGGGACATACCTCCAGTAACCTGTCTCCAATCCGGAGGGTGCCATTAAGCGCTGCCGGGCTGTCGGGGCTGATGTGCTTGATGAACACCCCCCTCATCATGTCTCCACTGCTCAGTCTGCGGCCCATGCCTCTGCCTCCCATAATGCTGATACCCAGGGAGTGTCCTGGCGCTCGAATCAAACGCACACTAAGGCACAGAGAAGGCATACACAGCCTACATTAGGGGCCACAAAATCCCACTTAGACCATAGGTACAGTCATGATAGATGTGGTGTGTCTGAAAGCCTGATGAAGACCTACTTAATTTGAAAGATTGTGGCAAAAATGCACAAGAGAGGAAATTAATCCAGCAAGTACGCCTTTTTTACCCTTTCATCTTTTCCCTATCTGCAGCTCAGGCTAGAGTTCCAGAGATTAAGTGCAAACAATGGGTTATTATACCTACCGGGGAGACATGCACAATAGCTAGACTTTACATGGACTATGGCTTATGTGATTTATCTGGGCAGGGTGCAGTCATAAATACAGACTGAGAAATAGGAGGTTGTCTTTATGCTCTTTACAGTTCCTGCCCCTGCTGTGAACACCACCTCAACAAGGCTAGATTCTCCAAAGCTCTCCCCAGAACAGGAAGGATAAAAGGGCATAGCAGATAGAGGATGAAAAATATATACAAATGGAATAAGCACTGATATGACTGATTTACTGACCTTCTCGGGTGCTCCCAGGACACTACCAAGCGAGGGTGGAATTCCTCCTTAACTCCAAGATCTGTTTCATCTCCTATAAGCCCTGTATCCAATTTAGGCGCTTTCCCATCAGTGTGATTGTCCTTGATGTTTTCTGTATAGTCTTCATTTGTGTTTCTGTGTTCTGTTGTATCCACACTTGATTTTCGAATTTGCCAACTGAAAAAACACAAATACATCAAAAACATATTGTGATGTGTCTTTATCTGTATTCATTTACGCAGAAGCAAAATATCTATGATTTACACATCAAACTATCCTTTGTTTAAGGCTTCAATGGTTCATTTGAAACTAATTAAGTCAACAATAGAAATAAACACTTATTTTTTCCCCTTTGATTCAAACTGAATACTATGCTAAATAACAGAAACATCCATTATTATCCATTATTATCTGCTCTGTTTACAAGTGATATACACATACTAGTACATGGCTACACTGAGATGAATAACAGTAATACATAGCTGTATGCCTTTCACTGTATATTTGTTATTGTATTTAACATTGTTTCATAATAATGGCTTTTGTATTTGTTTATTGTTGTAAGGCAACCTTGAGGATCCTAATAAATAAAATGTCTTATTATTATTATTTTTTTTTTATAATAATAATAATAACATCATAGCACTGACAACTAACATCTTCATTTTTTATTCCAGACTCATCGTGTATTATAAAGATCAGAGTATGTTGGAACTGTTCTTCTTTTTGTTAGCATCAATGCAGTAACAAACAACTACTATACTCTATAATTCCAGACCTTGAAGTCCTTGAAGTCAAAAAGCCTTGGAAATACACTTTTTAGGCAGTAAGGTCACACTAAACTTGTATCTCTGTGAGTCTGGCTATTTTCACATTAGGGTATGTCTGTATAAATGGAACTCTATATACACTATAGTATACATATTAGTGTGTAGGAAAGAGGAGGTAGTGGAATTTTTCATGAATACGTTTAACGGTGGAGAGCTGTAATAAGCTTACAGAGGTGAGCGATAGTAGTGTTATCTCCACAGCAGGAGGCAACAGCCAGTCAAAGTTAGAGAAGAGGGCAGAACAAATGGCTCCATGGGGCTGAAGGAAAGCAGCCAGCACCAGACGACTGACAGGGAAAATGAGGGAGCGGCGATTTGGATGAGGGACACATGTAAACACAGGGAGTGAAGGGGCAAGCCTGGCTTAGAGCTACACACAAGACAATGTATCGAGAGATAAGGCTAAGAAAGGGCGGCATAGAGAGGGGGACTGTGCGCGGGTGGAGAGAAGAGCAGGCACCAAGATGGAGCAGGGACAGACAGAAGCGAAACAATTCATTTTCGCTGACAGTCAGCACTGAGATCCATAAGCGAATGGCTAAATATAACTCGGAGATTCAACATTCAGAGCAGCCCAAAAGAGAGGAGCGAAAAATGTGGAGTAGAGTGTGGCAGCTGCACACACTGGAACATGTTGTTTCCTGGTGGATACGCTTAATTAAAGTGACAGATAATAACTCAGATCATTAGCACGATGCTGCCGGGTGACTGAATGTATAATGTGTTACAGTCGTAAAACCCGAGCTGCAATAAAAGTCAAAAGCCTGTACAACGAGAACATTAAGGGATTAACATGCCACAGAATGTAAGGCTGTCTCCCAGTATATGAAATGTCACCAACAAACACATCATGAATTGAATACAGGCATTAAAGTGTAGTAGCAGGGGTATTATGTGGAACAACCCTGGATCAGAAAGTTGAGACATATCACGTTTCGAAATTTCAGGAGGACTATTTTTCAGTTGACATTATGCTATAATTTCTATAACAGCATTTTTAAGGTGTATATTACACTATTTTCTGATCTGTGTTATAATGTTGTTTCCTCATCACAAACATTGCCTGTTGTGTTTTGTTTCATGCACACATGTTTAACACTGCATATTTAGCCTGAAAACACTGAAACACTGAAAACACCACCTTGTGATTCATGTCATAAGACAGGAAGCACTTCACTGTGTTTTTAAACTTCATGATTTCAGCACTGCAATTGCCATTCCCTACTGAACAAAAAGTAAAGTAGCTTTTAACTTGAAAACTACAACTACTCGTACATGACAATCACATCATAAGGCATTTTGAGCTTTGGAGATGTAGACCGACTAATAATAAAGGGTTCCTCTGTGAATGAAACAAAACACAACTCTGGGCATGTTTCTGAAGAGTAACAGCATTATAGCATGGCTTAGTATGGCTTAAGCAATCTATTTTGTGTAATAAAGGACCTTTAAAAAATATGGGTATTTTCCATGTTTTAAGCCTACCAACATGAATCACTCTATAGGGTCTAAGTGGGACTGTGAGACCTTTAATAATAGTTTGTGTTACATTACCTGGTATCTGAAGCAGGGGTGATGGTGGGGACAATGGATTTGAATGGAGCTTTAAATGGTGCAGCTGTCTTGGTGGTTTCGGCCGTGGGTGTAGTTTTAACTGAGGAAAATGGGTTCACTTGCTCAACATTAACTGGAGGATTTAAGTGAACTGATGCAGACGATTTGACTGGTTCGGTTGTGATCTGAGGTTTAAGGTGGACTGATGCTGATGGCTTCACTGGTTCGGTTGTGATCTGAGGTTTAAGGTGGACTGATGAAGATGGTTTGACAGCCTCTGCGGTGGTTGGAGGTTTGAGGTGCACTGATGTAGATGGTTTGTGGATGGTTGGAGCAGTAGATGAGGTTATAAGAGCAGGTCTGATGGGCCCTGGGGATCTGCAGTGCCCTGGTGGAGGTTCTGGTGAAGGAGTGGGCGGTGTAGGTGAAGGGGTGGGGGGTGTGGGTGAAGGGGAGGCACTGTCTACTGTTATGGAGGCCAGAGGGGGCAGACCAAGTCGAATGCGGTGCTCGTCCACCTGATTAGCTGGGACATATGTTATCCTGCGGGTATAGGAAGCATGGAGACAAAACAAAATATAAATGAGTATTCTCAAAATAAGAACACACAAATGAAATGCCTTGGTTTTCTATATCAGATGGAGGATTATAATGCCTGCCAGCAAATGAGAAATAGATAGAATACTATGGTTTAAGTCCAATCTGGATGCTTTCGGTGCTAATATAGGGATTTACAAAAAATACATCAGTTAATTAGAATATGATGGGAAAGGTTGTTTTAGTTGTTTCCTCCAAAGTGAAATGCTTGCAGTTTAAGTGCACACAGAGTAAGTACAGAGAGAATAATAAATAATTAAAACTATTATTAAAGGGCCTACATTACATTTTTTCTGATCTAGGTTACAATGTTGTTTCCTCATCAAACAGATACCTGGAGTTCTTCTCTCAGACAGGAAACACTCTGTTCCACCACGTGATGTCATATGATAAGATACTCCACTGTCTTTTTACACTTCGTACACCTTCACTAGAATCATTTGGATAATTTCAGACCTGGAATTTCCAATCTCTACTGAACAAAAGGAAAAAGGTAGCTGTTCACTTGAAAAATCACTTCATGACATTACATGGTAGAACAGAGCATTTGAGCTTTGGCAATATAGACAGATTAATAATAAAGGGTCACTCAAAATGTGTGGATTAAACAAAACACAACTCCAGGTATGTTTTTGAGGAGGTAGCAACATTCCAACATGAGTAAAAGCTCACAAGAGTCTATTTTGCATAATATAGGACCTTTATGGCAAGCCAGTGAAGACAAGTGCACATCAGATGCAGGTGGTCTTTTCGTCAGACTTAGAGCACCTGAAGCAAACCAGTACTTTAAGTTCGTAATACATATTGAATATAAGTACATGTTTTTTTTAGTCCCACCCATTTTCCCACCTTTTTTATGCAAAACTATCATAGGCATTACTGTCTCAAATAGCTGCTGGGGAAAATGTTGATAATGTTTGAAGGCACATTTGTAATTCTAGTCAGCTCTTACAGTTAATAAAACCCAAAATAATGAAAGGCATGTTTTCCATAAGCCTGCGTGTCATTTAACTTTGAGTGTCAAGGACATCATTAAAGTCCCCTCCTCCTCCCATCTCCATTCTTCCACAGCTCATAAGTACAGACAGTCTTTTCAAACCCACCTCTCCAGCCAATACATGTGTGTAGTCCCTTTATGATGGCAGTGTGAATATGTGGATGTCTGCTGTACTGAACTGTTGTGAGTGAGCCATGTGGACAGACTGTCTTGTCTCAAACACAGCCATTCTGATAGTGACAAGTCCTCACCCTTTTCTCTGTCTTTCTTTTTCTTGCCAAAGCAGCTCATCTGCCTCCACTCTCTGTTAGTTTGTCTGTCAGATGGAGGAGGAACAGTGATTGTGTGTGTTTGGGAGAAAGACAGCGATCTGCTTGTCTTGTGTGTTTGTGCGCTTCTTTAAAGTACTCTTTTATTCACAAGCACACTGTTCAAGGTGAAATGAGTCATGAATTATTCAGATATTTCCCATCACAGGAAAAGACTATTTTTTGGAGGTTATGGCCATCGCTATGAGTATGTATGTGCAGCAAGGCAAGCTGAGTGGATGTTTTTGCATGGGGCAGCAGAGATGGAGAACAAAGGGCACATCTCAGCACAGCAGCATTGTCAATCCAGCGCCGTATTTGCTGATGTTAGACCTCGTAATAATTTGCCAAATTTTCCCCCAAGGCAATTCTTTAAATTTCATCATCTAATCAAATTTAACATGACTGCTCAGCTCCACTCAACTATGACCGACGCATGAAAAACAAGGTGGTGATGCCGGGAGATCTGTTGAGAGAGATCATTTATAGGCAATGAGTACATGTCTGTAAATTATATAGGGTCCATGTCGTTTTCTGCCTTTGTTCACACAGAAAAAGCCTTCTACAGTCTAAACTCAACCCTGGCATGGATGATGTGCTTGACTTTGAAAAATGCATAGTTGTGTTAAGTACTTTTCATATACGGTACTCATACTGTTAGAGGAAAATTTATTATTACCATTTACATTTTTGGCTTTTTTTATTATATCATAATGTGTGAGCTACTGTGTCCAAATAGTTTCCCTTGTGGATCATTAAAGTTTGTCTAAGTCTAAGTCAAAGTCTAAAAATGTTAAAAATGTACTTATTTTACTTTTTACCTTTTAATACTGAAACAGTAAAACAGTACCAGGCATTTCGCATTGTTATTTTACTTGCACCAGAAATCGGTTGCACTGCATACCAAGGATATCTCCATCTCTACCCATGTTGAATAGATCCTTAAAGCTTATAATACTTCCTACAATAGCCTGACATAAATGGACAATATCACAATGTGCTGAGTGTTCATGTCTCTTAAAAGTCTCAGTATGTTTCTATTTGTTGTCTTCATAGTGAATGCCTTTAAAATCACATTTTCTATTCAGCTCTTAAAACTGCAGCATAGCACGATGATATAGCTCTTAATTAGATGTACTTAAGTATTACAAACCTTCTAAAATGTATTTTTCTATTAATATATAATTCCTTTGTTCCCAAACCCTTGTAGCTTTATTACTTATATTGTTCCACATAATAATTAAGGTGAGAGTACTAAATCCCATTACTATTCCAGTATATAAGTCTGTGACTGTCCCCTCACCTGATCTCTGGCTCTAGGACAGAGTGCCTGCGGAGCATGGCTCTTGCTTGGGCGTTGGTCAGATTAGTGGTAGGCTCTTCGTTGATGGCCAAGATGGCGTCTCCTACCCCCAGCCTGCCATCATGGCTTACAGAACCCCCCTGGACCAGACTGCGCACCAGCATGCCTGAGCCGTCCTTGATAGCGCTCACCGACATGCCTGCCAATACGCACACACAAACGCACACACAGACATGGACAGGTGAGTGGAGGGCTGGCTAAGAACACTTTGAAAACATGCCAAGCAGACAGACACAGACCCAAACAAACACCTGACTGTGGCACAATCAACATAATCAAGACAGACACTAGGCAGATTAGCACACAAACACGGATAGGCTCACTTGACATTTACACAGCATCATTCTTTATGGAGACAGTGAATACAAAGCCACACAAGTACACACTGCCAAAGGGGCAGAGGGCACAGGCGGTGAGAGGGCTAGCACATGCCAGTCCCACAGACACCTCTCTATGGCATTATCAAACCGGACACTAGGAGGATTGCACAAGCTGTTCATTAATGCAAACAAGCAGAGGCAACAAAATGAAGGGATTTTTCACACACACCTGTCCATGCATACACACAGAGTAAACAGGAGAAACTAAGCAGGAACATCAATGGCACTTTTCCCAACTTCTGTCATCTAATGCAGGACAGGGCACATCCACAACACTATGGTTGTACAGAATTTGAATCTAGTCAAAGAAATGACCGTGCTGATTTTTTTTTTTACATAAATATTTTTATTATATTTACATTCAAATTACAATACAATCATAGTGCCAGGAGTACAATGAGCAGGTGACATGATGAACCAACACTGACAAGACAAACTGAAAAGACAGTGAAAACATGAAGAAGAATAGAGTGTGCTACATATTACGTTACTTTCTGATCTATGTTATAATGTTGTTTCTTCATCACAAACATACCTGGAGTTGTTTCATTCATACATGTTTAACACACAAACCCTGAATATATATGGGCTGACTTTTTTCCTCAGTCAGAAAACACTCTGTTCCACTCTATACACCTTCACGAGAATCATTTGGATCATTTCAGACCTGGAATTGCCAACCTCTACTGAACTAAAGGTAAAAGGTAGTTGTTTACTAGAAAACTACCACTTCATGACATCACAAGGTGAAACAGAGCATTTTGAGCTTTGGAGATGTAGGCTAATAATAAAGGGTTACCTTTATGACCTTTAAATCACAGCCTAAAAGTAATATTCACTAACATTGTTATAATGCTATACTTCAAAATTAAAGTTTATAAACTAGTGGGTGATTCAAATAATATTTATATTTATAATTGCATCTTTTTGTCCTTTTTCTACTTAATCAGCCAAATTGTTACATTGCAAAATTGTAATTTCCCTCAAGTGGAACAAATAGAGGTTTATCTTATGCACCTAATAACAACCACAAATTGTGTATAAATGCTATTTTAAAGAATTAACTGAAAAAATATGCAAACCTTAAGAACTCTATAGACGGGGACAGTATTTGAAAAGAGACACCACTGACACACAAACTGCAGGTTTCGACCTTGAATTCTTCTGTCTATAATAATTTACATAATTCCAAACTTTGAGCCAGCCTCAAGTTGTCTCTACTTTATTAGCTCATGTGTCTAGAATACAAATGAGGTGGTTTCCTTTAAATTTGCATAGAGCCCCTAGAAAGTGCAGAAGCGTTTTACACTCTGACTTGTACGTTCTGAGAACTTTAAAGACCAAATGGTGGCCTTGTCCTTAGCAGGTGGACAGCAGCATAATGATGCCTGAGTAACCAAAGCAAAACATTGTGAATAGCTTTTACCTTGCTTTGACTCTGTTTCTTAACCACAGGCACTTGCATAAACACACACCTTTTCAGTCTGCATCACCAACTATCAGTGACATAATGGCTGTCGCACTGGCGTACACACACCAGGAAACCATCGTCATGAGAAACACAAAGAACATACCAAGGCTCGAGTTGCCCCGGACAACAGTGATGGTCCTCTCAAAGTTGGTGCGAGGGAGCAACGGCGGCACTTCACTGTGATCATCCTCCATGTTGTTAAAACGCTGACGCAACTGGTCTTCCTTTAAAACCTGACAGAAGATATAAGAGGCATGTAAGAATAAGACCGGCATTATTCTCTTTTCCCTCCATTAAAGGAATACATGCAACTTTATACAAAAGCATTATTAAGCATAAAATTAAAGTCATAAATTAAAGTCATGAATCAAATAAATACAGTATTATCTAAGAACTGAAAGATTATTATTAAAATGAAATGAAGGAATGATGGTTTCCTATCCTGGACTTAACACACATACATACACACAAGTATTAAAATGCTAAATTTTCTCAGAACGCAGGGCACAAAGCAAACCTGACAATATTATTATTTATTAAGAAGCAGGGAATAAATCAGAATACAAATAGAGTCACTGAAAACTCTTTAGGGTGAATGCCTTTAGAGAAATTCTGATCAGGTATAAAATGTGAGATAAAGGGGAGATTCTGTTGGTCCCGCTGGGTTCTTTACAAAGTAGTGGAAAACAAGACAGTTTTCCTTGAACACTGACTGAAAGCACAACAGACACTTTTGAGTGTTAGATATGATGCCCCCAAACTGTATGCCCTTGCAGTAGAAATCCTGTAGTAAAAATAGCTGAGAGTTACACAAAAATCCAAAACAAAACGCACTGAATTGGGTCTAAATTAATAAACAATCCCTGACAAGGAGCACTTTCTCTACAGCTAATCCAGTGATAGTGATACAACAGTGTCTGAGCTGCCTGCTCCTGCGGTGAACTGAAAGAACAGCCTCTGTCATGAGAATCTCTTTAGAGGAGGCAAAATGGCTACCCACACAATCTCATGTTGCTGTAAAATTGACCAAGGCACTTTTTTGTGGTAATTGACAATAAATTTTACAGTTTGACAAGTTCTTTTGCAAACCTACACTCTATCTTGAATAGGAACTCACAGCAGTGTCCTAAACTGGGCTCAGACAATCAACAACCCACTACATCCAATACAGAACAACTCCTGTATGTTAGTAGATGGACAATATATTAAATTATGGATAATAACTCGAATATTGCTTTGAAGATATGCACATTTTAATATAATTTTATCATTAATAAAACTCAAAAGCTGCAAAAAGGCAATGAAAAAGAAAAATGGAACAAAGGATGTGAGGTTATATTTCTACACTTTTGTGGTAATTTTACAGTCCTTTCACAGCTGTCATCAACAAACACATTTCAGTAGGATTGCCAGAATATCTTCTGATTATCATTACTGGGACACACGTCCTTAAAAAAATGAAATATTCACTTTTGTCAGAGTTACCCAACACTTTTTCTGCTGTTTGAATTTCCATCCAAATAAAAAATAATACAATGTTATCCATTACTGACTGTTCTGTAGACAATTTATTAAAGCACTCAAGGTCCACAACTTATTCCCCATCTCATTCGTTGCACACTTCCTTGAGTCTTACTTGAGTCCTCATACAACACACAAAGTGCATCAGACCCCTGTTAAAAGAGCAGTTCATTAGTGTAGTGTGGCGTACCGCTGCAGGGTGACACGTCCGTATGCCACTGTTATCCTCCGAGGTGACAGTGTTAGCGTTGGTGTTAGCCTCGGCTAGCAGGCTGATCTGAGTGTGGTTGTCACTGTCATCATAAGAGGCCCTCGCACTCCTCTCTGCGATGGGCGTCAGGCCACCACAAAACTCCAGCTGAGAATGGACACGCAGATGCAAAGACACTTAAAAGCTTAGAAAAGGTGAGCAGATCCACATGAAGGCTAACGGGCTAAAGGCTGTGACTGTAAACTAGACACCCTCTGCCCTGCCTGCTCCATCTGTAGTGTTCCTGCAGCATTGTGTTCATCTCTTGGCCACATTAAATATTCACATGTAACAAGAGTCCCCGGGCCCTGTTACTAAGCCACAGTCACAACAAAAGGAGTACTTTTAAAACCATGTACTGCAACTTTCTTCTTCAAAATTTGATCGCAGTTTGTGTATTTTTACTCCAAATAACATTATGGCATTTTTGTTATTGCTTGTGTAAACCATTGTTAAGTAGGATACAAAGACACAGGCATAAGCTATAATTCACGAAGGCCAACAAAACAAGAATGTTTTCTGAAAACTTTTTCTTATGCTCTATCCATTTATTCCCTCCCACTCTATGGAGCTACGGAGAGAAATTAGCTCTGAGCTAAATTCAGTATCTTTACAACACTTGGTGTCCTAACTAAACCAACTCTGAAAACACTAAAGAATCTATTAAAACAACAAGTCCCCTTCTAACTATGGAGTTAGAAGATCAGTATCAATAGACTATCTCCAACTGGAACAGAACCTGCACCTGCAATTTCTATATGCACTACATAAATTCATCTTGACCCACAGCTGACCTCTCACGACCTTAAATAAAGCTTAGCACATTAAGTGTATTTTTACAACAGAAACTTTGCAAGTTACTGTACATACAGTCTAAGTATCCTACTTACCGGCAGTGGTTTGGCAACTCCTATGCGGACAGGGCCATAACCGGTAGATTTAAGAACATGAACAGCATAATCCAGGCTGGAGCCCTCCAGGTCTGTCTCATTCACAAACATGAGTCTGTCTCCAGGAAGAAGGCGGCCATCTTTGTCTGCTACACCTCCAGGCACCAGGGACCGGATCACCAGCACTGTCTTTGAGGCATCCTCGGGGTCCTATAATAGGCATTTAGAGAAGAAAAATGTATAAAAGCTTTTACAGAAAGGACAGAGCCTATGGAAATATATCAGTAATGAAATATAAATCCATTTGAAGATGTATTGGAAAAAAAAAAATGAAATTATGAGATACTGTGTATGTAAAGAAATGTTTAAACTTTTTAAAACTTTCTAAAGACATTTTAAACTTAATCTCTAAATTACACATATAATTGTAGGTCATTTGGCAAGATTTCAGGTCTAGTATTAAAGAAATTATTTCAACTGTCTAGACAACCTATGCCTTAAAGCCCTATGTGTATAAATTATTAAATACAGATTAAAAATTTCATTCCAGTTTATCAATTTCCCTGCGTTTCACCCTATCCGACCTGACACTGATATTCTTGGACTGCTGGAGCTCCTTCTATTTGTGGAGTGGCTCAGGGCAGTGTGGCTGACCTGGTAGTCCAGGATACTGAAGCCCAGGCCCGACTCGCCTTTCTCCAGTTCCACCACCACCGCCTCCCGCTCCCACATGGCCAGGGGGGGAGACATGGGGGGCACACCGCGCTTGGTTATGTCCTCTGCTGTAGGACAGGGGATCACACAGCCTTGGTCCAACTACAAAATCAGAGGAGGAAAAAAACTGTTAATGTGGTTTACTCAAATAAAATGAGAAACATAATGAGTCAAGCCTTAACTGAAGGACTGTCTGAATCAAATCAAGCAGAAATCTCAACTAATCTATATTTACACTAAAAACCACTGTAGCATGATAGTGTGTGTTGACCTTGTCATTGAACTCAGCCAGCAGCTCTTTGAGGGTGAGGTGGGCATCGTCTTCATTTTCCTGGTGGCTTTTAGGAGCTGTGGGGGGCACCACTCGAGAGCAAACCAGGCACACACGCACGGGCAGCTCCTTTAGAATACTGACCACCTCCTTATGGCTCTGACCAATCAAAGGGATTCCATTCACCTGGAGTTACAAACAGAAATACGATTTTTAGTAAATTCAATTTAAAAGAGTCATTCAGAGCCCTTAAGGCATGGGTTTCCAAATATTTTCCTCCACTGAGCTGCCTTTACAAAACGAAAATACCAGAGAGCTACTAATTTTAGCAGTCTCAAGAAACTGAGTGTATAAAAGAGCCAAGGCAAGCCTTAGATGGAGTACAGTTAGATGTTTATAAAACATAAACCATTATCCATTGATTAGTGCACAAAGTTAGGTATCAAAATTATACATTTACAATGGCAATAGGCATTTAATCAACCAACATTTTGTTATTAACTACAATGCAGCATAGTAACATAATTATAAATCCCTGTGCAGGCTACTTGGAAGAGGGTGGAGAGCTACTGGCCCTTGCTACAGGCTGGAGAGCCCTTAAGGCCACCTTACACCAGACCTTAATTTAAAACAACAGAGCAAAGTGATAAGATTACTATTTCATTTCAGGAAATTATGTGTGAACAACGATTTTATTTCTAGGTGGTGGCTTTGGTGGTGGTGTCCTCCATGCAGCAATGACATTGAATGTTTTGTTTAGCAGAAAATCTGAGCGAATGGAGGGAGACAGATAACAAGGAGGAGTGGCCAAGACAGAGCCCTGAGGCACACCGGTGAAAATGTGATTTTTGTGTGTTATTTAAAAAAAAAAAGTGGAACTCTTTCTCTGTAGAAAATCATAAATAACATCAATAAGCATGCCTTTTTTCTAAAACACTGATTAGTGTAGAAAAAAAAGTTTATAATATACAAATTTGTATTGCCAAAAAAACCAAAAAACAAGCACAACAAAACGATTAATATAAACAAAATTTGGTAAATCCAATTTTTCTTTAGAAGCCACAATTAGAGTCTACCTGTATATAATAGTAAGTATTAAACATGTCAGTGAAGTGTCTATAGAAAGGATGAAACTATCTCCCTTTAATATGGCAGTTCTTTAAGGTCATTGAGTAATTAGCCGCTCTTATACAGGTCGATGTAAAATGACAGAGGATGTACTACTTGTGTCCTCTAAAGATGATTTCAATGAGCAGAGGTAACGCAAGATAATGATGTTTTTGACAGAAATAAAACCTCACGTATCTTCTATAACTGAGCTGAGCATTCGAGTTGATAGCAGTACTCGTCATGATGAGTGATACATGTGGGTGTGTGAACTGGCTCCTCTGACATACAGAAGCTACTCACTCCCACGCTCTTACTGACAGAAATTTTGCTGCTGTTAAGAAAAAAAGTTTGCAACGGCACTTGAACTTGTGCGGCATTTACTAAAAAGCAATAAGTGCAGTGTGAGCTTCATATTTGTCTGAAATCTTGACATCCATTTCACATTTAGACCAATCACATGTCAGTGCTGTCTACGAGACAATCATGAGGATAAGTTTGAGCTGACAGGCTGGTAAGTATATATAGCACATAATATGGTACAATAAGAATTTTTTTTTTTACAGTTATATGTTCAGTTTTATGTCATATTATATGTTCTTTGTACAGTTTCTTTGTTGCCTGACCAGCGAGTCCGTTCTACATTCTGTTCAAATTTAGGAGGGACAGGAACGGGATAATAGGGAGTGAAAAACCTCTGTCCTAACTTGATACAATTGAACCACAGCCACTAATTTGTAGCACGTGTCTCTTAAATACAGAAGACATCTTCTCTCCAACATTCAGAACAAAATATATATTCTTTCACCTAAGATAAATAATAGTTTGGTTGATTCTGTACAAATCTATGCTGTTTCTCAGTCCTTTATGCTGTTTTACCCTTTTTTACGCATAAACTGCCATGTTTGTTTTTAACATGAACGGACCATGAGTCTCTGATTGGTCAATCTGCCTGTCAATCACACCCTGTAGAATTGAGGAGAGAGGATACAGCTCCAGATCCACTTGTCTTTGTAAAGTTTTGTAAAAGCGTGTGGTTCTGGCTGGTCACGTAAGCATCTTTATAGATAAAATGTATTATTATTATTATTAGTCTACCTCTAATATTTGGTCTCCAGTGTGAATCTTGCCACATTGTCCAACGGGTCCTTCAGGTAAAACAGAGCACAGGAAGTGATGTCCTGCTCGGGCCTCAAGACTGATGCCCAGTCCACTGGTTTCACTGAAGCGCTCCAGCTGGCAAACCTGAAGGAAATACAATGGTAACTATGGCTGTAATAATACATTTCTTTTATTGAGATCAAGAATATTTCTAATTGTCAATTATTTGCCTGGCAAGTCCAGAGTGACTGTATTTTTTTATACAGAGGAATGTCACTCTGAGTTTAGTGCTTTGCTCAGTGATTCTGCACAAATCCACAATGTTTTTCAGTCCCCTGTAATATATATTTTTTCCTTTCTTTTTCCCTTATCAGCAGCCACATTTGTTTTAATACACATTTTAGAGACACGCAACCATGCTTGGCTAATCCACCTATCAGTCATGCTCATCTGAACTCAAGGAGATGTACTGGTGGCCCAGAACAGCTGTGGCTGTACTAGTACCTTATTGAGTACAGAATCAATGAATAATGCTATGTAAAGCGTTTCATGTCTTGAAAGATTATATATAAGTCCAATGCAATATTATTATTATTATTGAAAAACTTACCATGACTTCATATTGGAGTCCAAGAGCACACTGCCATCTATTCTTCAATTCTTCCTCCTCAGCTGACGTCAGTTTGCCTCCTGTAGAAAATATACATACATGTGAATTAGATCATATGTGATATATTGAAGCCTTTTTCACCCATTAGCTTGATCATACACATTAAATCTGCAGTGTATTGGGTAAAATGCAAGGGAGGCCTTCAAAACAAAATGCAGCAGACAGAAACATGTTCCCACCCACGATCAGTGTTTCTTGGCAAACTAATGTTTGACTTTCTATTAAAGCTGTTTGGCTGTGCTCTCTCTAATCAAGCCCTCCAAAATGCTTGTCTAAATAAAGCTATGTATGCAGGCGGAGTTTGGAGACAAATCATCTGGAATGAGCTGAATGAGTTGGATAAACACATGACTGCATGGCACTATAAATAGTCTCTCATCAAAGAACTGCCTTTGCTGTCACACTGACATCTCTCAAGTTGTTTGCAAGAACTATGTAATCAACATCGAAGTGCATTCTGGATGGGACAGGAAACGGTTTCTTACCACTTCTGGAATCAAATCTGTGTTTCCTGTTGGCAAAGGCCGCACGCCACGAGATCTCACGAAGAGAGCTGATTCCTGCCAGAGGGGAGATAACATAATGACTAATTGACTAGAAACTAAGAAAATATAATATACATAAAGCATACAAAACTGTTCAAATTAATTATGGATTTAATATAAATAGAACAAAGCAAAGTACTACACTCTCTTGTGCCTTGTATTATGTAATGTATGCTTAGCTGAATACAAATCCCCTGCCATATCAAAGAAACCTATAGACATACTTTTTGATCCACAGCAAATAGAAAAACTTGAAATATCTTACCTGTCTCTGCTATCTTATTGAGGCTGACTTTGTAGGGGTTGCCCTCTTGGAAGCTGTGTGAGTGTCTGAGCGGGTGCAGGGGGGGCACGGGGGGCAGAACGTGGCTCAGGACCACTGCCTTTCTTAGCAGCCTCAGACGAACCACTGGCCCTGTCCTCCGCAACACCTCCATAGCCCTCTGCTCACTGCAACCATGCAAACTCATCCCATCCACCTGCAGAGATAAACAAAATGGAGCAGAGACACAGCATAAGGGAATAAGAAAGCCACAGGAAAGGGAATACTACATCATCAGCTAAAACTGTTAAAAATTTAGGTTATGGAAAAAGATGAGCTTGCAAGTGGTGCAAATTTTGAGTTGTTAGAAGTCAGCAAGGCATTCATACAATGCACAGAGATATTAGTCATTTGAGGACAACAATAAACAGGAAGCCATCTGTTATGCTCCTAGTGGGACTCACGGAGAGGATGATGTCACCGATGTGGATGCGGCCATCTTGATCGACACCACTGCCCTTCACGATGCTCTTCACCATCACCCCAGCACTATATACTGGGCAGGAGCAGCAAAAGACAGTTACTTTGTTATTGTTGTGTTCATTGCATATTGTATTGTGTATAATTAGATTTAGACAAACTTTATTGATCCACAAGGGAAATTATTTGGACACAGTAGCTTACACATCACAATAAATTATAATAACGAAGAGCAATAATAAATTCTAAATAAGTAGCAAAGATAGCAAGAGGAAAACATATAAGGCATGATGATATAAATGTGTATGAACAGTAGAAATAAAATATATAATAAAATATACTAATACAAATATATCTCAGGGTGTAAAGACAATATAATGATTGACAGGACATAGGGTTATCTTTTTTTCAATTGATCTTACCTGAGTTTAGATCACCAGTGTAGCTTGATATGGTGAATCCTAAACCCTGATTATTTTTCGTATACTGAACACTGAACTCATAGTCATGGTTTGGGTCAGTGGGCTGTAAAGAAAAATACAAAACGTGAATGTATTTGCATATAACAGTGCTAATTGGCGATTGTAATGAAGTAATGAATGTACTTTGCTGTCCATGCTGTCGTGACTTAGATCAGGAGAGGACTGTTGATTATCTCTGGCAATGAGCAGCTTTACTTTGGTTCCTGCATTTCTGAGCACCTACACAAGTGATATGAAAAATTATATATACAAGGTGAAAATTAATGCACAGGTAAAAACACTGAATCTATTTTGAAACAGTTTCTTGTAAAATATAATCATCTTTGGATTCTTTGGATTCATCTTTTAGTTTAAAGGGTAAGTTGAGTTTACCTGAACAATGAAGGATAATTGGCAAGAGCAAGGGTCACAGTCAAACACATTAATCAAAAGAGCTGAAACTACTCTTGAGTCTCACCTGTGCTACTTGTTCACTGCTCATTCCCGCCAGGTCTGTATCACCAATACGAAGAATTTGATCTCCACTACGAAGGCGGTTATCCTGCAAGATCAAATATGGATAAATGTTTTAAATTCAAATATAAAATAAATTAAAATAAAGAAATCAAAGAATCAAGAACAACAATGGGATTTAAGAAATACATAAAATCCAGTTCATTAAGTAAGTATGAAAATGAAAATAACTGTTGTGCATAAAAGTGCAGATATCTGTTTATAATAGATTAATATATGTGTTGAAATGAAATGTGTTGATGTGTTTTAAAGTAACTATCAGTGTTAATGTATTGCCTGGAAAAGGGGAAAGTTAACATAAGATAACTCTTCTTTCGGCTCCTTTTCATTCATTTCTTGTATGTTTAATGTTATGACACTGGAGATGTCTTTGATTTTGTAAAATAAAAAATAAAAAAATTAATACAGTATATAGACAGCATTACCTGGCCAGCAGCTCCACCAGGAAGAATAGTCTTAACTATAACTCCTGTACTTCGCCCTCCAACAATGCCAAAGCCGAGACCTTTCCCATCATTGATCAGCTCTATCAATGCCAAATGTCGCCTCTGACAGAATTTTCAAAACAAACATAAATTGAATACTGTGTTGTACATTACTCTATATTGTAAACTACATATTTGACTATTTTACGGTACCTCATGTGCAATAGAAGACAAATTCCTTCCCATTGACATTGTTCGGGAGATTCTTGGTGGAGTACAGTACTAAAACAGAAATTAAGAGCAAGCCATTTTATGTTTTGTTTTTGTCTTGATAGCAACACAATTCAAAATATAAAAACTTCAATTTTCCATTTTGTTTACAAAATGTCACTCTCTAATAACCTTGGCTCTAACTGTTATACTGTTTATAATGACATTCATAGGCAGTGTATCTGTATCTGCATTGTCATTGTCCATCATGTCCTTGGTTCAATAAACTCACTGTACAGTGCAAAACACATGAAAAAACAGCAAACTTCCCATACGCATCCATTTGTAGATAACATGTATACTAACAAATAAACCACTTCACCTTAAAAGAGAATATAGAACAGTGTCTAGTTTAAAGGTCCTATATTACACACAACTGACTCTTGTGATAAACCATGTTAGAATGTTGTTACCTCCTCAAAAAAGATACTGAGCTGTGTTTTGTTTCATTCACACATGTCTGAGTAATCATTTATTTTTAGTCTGTCTACATCTCCAAAGTTTAAAATGCTCTGATCCAAACTGTAATGTCATGATGTGGTAGTTTTCTAGTTTTTGTTCAGTAGAGACTGGCAATTCCAGGGTTGAAATCATCCAAATGATTCTAAAGAATTTGTATGGGGTTTAAAAACACAGTGCAACACTTCCTGTTTTACCATATGACATCACAAGGTGGAACAGAGTGTTTTCTGTTTGAGAGAAGGATTCAGCCTAAATATGCAGGGTTTGAGTGTTAAACATGTGTGAATGAAACAAAACACAACTCCAGGTGTGTTTGTGATAAGGAAACAACATTATAACATAGATCAAAACTAGAGTTACTATATGGGCCCTTTTACCCTTAAAAGATAACGTAAAAATGTGTTCTCTAGTTTAAATTATGTCACTATGAATACAACCGAGAGGCATTTTACAGTCTAGTAGGTTTATGTGCCTTCTTTAACACAGCAGTATATAATCAGATTTTGTGTGATGGATATTTCCCATACCTGTGATTCCGTATATGTGCGTGTATCTGGATAGATTTCTGAGATAGAAAGCTCTTGAGATGCGAGTGAGGAGCTGCTGCCTTCTCTGCGCACAGGGTTACTGGGCCTGCGGTTCTCTATGGCCCAGGTGTACGAGTCACTGTGGCTCAAAGTCTTTAGGCCCAAAGCCATGCCCGGGCACGATCCATACTTCATTGACACAGACTTGGAAATGCCCTTCTTCCCCTGGTAGAATTGAACAAGCATTGATAAGAAGAAGATAAAAATGGGTAAAAATGGAGAGGATGTGAGTAGAAAAAAATCAATAGACTTGGAGAGAACTGGGATGGATAAATGAGAAGAAGATTGAAGGATGTGTGAGAATAGAGACAGAGAGATTGGGAAGGAAATGGATGATGGAGATAAAGAGACGTGGAAGTGGGTTTTGATATAGACTTGGAGACATTCATTTAAAAGAGGAAAGATATGGAGACAAAGACCAATGGGATGAGCTGGTGGAAGTGATGGAGGAATGGAAATAGACAGGATAAAGAAGTTGGGAGAGCCAACAAGGAAAAGATGTAGAAGCTAGAGCAGTTGGGAGGAGGGGAACAGCAGCTAGCCAGAGGTTTGAGGAAAAAAGACGACAAATTACAAATGGAGCATAGTGATAGCTGAGAAGCAGCAGGAACACAGGAGCAGAGATAAAGGCTTTTGCTCAAAACCACAAACTACAAAAACAGTTCCCTCCTGTCTTTTAGATTTTCTGTTTCAAGGTTTAAAAAAGGACTTTTGGGAGATGGTTGTTTTAGACCTGAATATGATTCTACATTCACAACTCTTGGGCTTATTCAAAGAGCTCACTGATAAGAGCCATTTTATTACTAAGGGCAAAGGAGAAATTCAATTTGTCAACTGGACAAAAGTTTATTTTGGCCGAACACGATTCGCAGCTCATCCAAGCTGCTTCTTTAGTTCTGGTCAGAATGCTGTTGGACACTCCCTCATATCTGCCTGTAGGGAGGATTCATTACTAATTTATTACTAATATGTCACTCTGCAAGATTTAGACTACAGTTACAGTTTATCATATGCATTTATATACTAGATAGCATACATGCATCATTCCAATGGCATGGACAACTGGTATTTACAACAGCATGAGATTACTATTTTGTACATTGTAAGCCAAACATATTAGGGAAGGTAGGCCATTAAAAAAAAGATTAATAATTTAACAAACACTGAAGTACTAAAAACCTTGACTTCTGATACAGACAATTCCTCAATATAATAGTCACTACTTCCTTCCTCTCTCAAGGCTTTAACTTAAGCTTAGGTAAGCTGATTACTCATCCTAAATACTGCATTGAGTATTTTGGGCATGATTCTGACTACTGCCTTGATTCAACAAACATAGAGCCAGCACCCACACAAAATGTTCCTGTGAACAGTATGACTGTGTACCTTTGGTGGAGGTTTCCTTTGAGTCTTCTGTAGGCTGAGTATATGGTGGAACAGGGGGCTCTGCAGGACTGTTCTGAGCAGGAAGAGTTTTTCCTGCATGGATGCTTCCCCTTGGTCCTTTAGCTTGGCCTGGAGTCTCTCTACAGCCTGTAGGGCACACTCAGTGTCTGCACACAAAATTATAGTGTTATTTCCAACAAAGGTGACCAAGTAAAAGTGGGAAAAGTTGCGCAGTTTGGTGGGAGATAGTGGGATGGACATGATAAATTAAAGCCTCTAGACAGACTGTTATATCAGAGCATGTGATATTGTTCTTTTCTATGTAAAACTCACAAATAATAAAATAAATAAAAACAATGTAGGGGCAATGGAAACTGTGGCTTATCTGAATAAATGAAAGAGGGACAGAGGCCTTAATGAAATGTTGTTGTTTAAACTGGTGTAAGGCCAGGACCCAGAACACTTTTATGGCTGAGCTGTAACAGAAGAGGTGCTCTTAGAGTTTAGCCACCTGCCCATGAAGTGTTTCTGCAGTGCTACTGGCACACACCTGAGGGAAGCCTCCAAACTGGCAACATGGTCTCATTTTGCCCAGCCTGTTTTGGGGAATTACTGTTACATCAGCAGAATGTTCTTACCCATAATTTTTTCCATTGTAATCTGTTGGCTCGCTGAAGTGTCTGTCGTGTTTAGTTTGGTTATAGATGAATCTTATTCCTCCTTCTATGGCACCTGCAACAGGTAAACATCATCCACTTGAAAGTCACGTGTAAAAACAAACGAGGTTTCGCCTTGTAGAGCAGCACTGACACGTTTATTACAATAGTGTCTGCTTGCCTTTGTGGCCGGATTCACCATAAGCCCTCCATTATTTATTTGCACCTACCGGGAGTATTAATCATTTTACCTGGACGTTCGGTTAGAGGCCTGCTTGTTCGCAACAAGCGCCTTGCTTGTCGCCTAATGCTCTTTAGCAGGATTTAAATGGGCTCCAAAAGGCTTTATCGGCCAGTGATGCTAATTAACAGCGACACATGGCCTCCCGACCATTTTAACTTGAAGCGAAGCATGTGCTGCTTTAAAGCACCAGAGCAATGACATGATTTGATTTACAAAAGGACGACCAGGAAATGACAACGTCTCATCTGAAATCTAATTATGTGCGCAGGATTTATACGTGGGTTACTTTTAAAAGTGTTTGATGTCCTTCACGCTGTCCATACCTACCTGTTGATGCTAAGCACTGCTTTAAAAACCATCACTGATTAATGATTACAAGATGATTTGACATGCCATATATGAAACAACCTCTAATCTCAGTATAATGACGCGCACAGCGGACAGAGGGACATGGACTACGCAGTCTCTCGCTCTCACCTCCATCGCAGCCACTGGGTAATCAACAGGTCCACACGCAGCTCCTCCTTCAGTCTGAGGGTGAGTTTGCCTCTGGAGAATACCCCAAATGATACTCTCCCCGTGGAATAAGTCATAACAATGTATGAGGAACGATCAGCTAACAAATAGCACGCGGTGCGTTTTATTTTCCAGCATTGTGTTCGCGGCTGGCAAGTGCGTCCTGCAGTGCGCATGTCACCCTCTGATCTCGAGGCATAAGAGCCTCATCCTGAGAAGAAGTAGCTACACTTGCGGTAATCCTGTAAAGCATTTCCATTGGCCGTTAGTCTATGACAGTAATGCCAAAGGCGAGTGACATGTGAACTTTAAACACCTGAACAGGGAAAGTGTCAAGCGGTGAGATATGTGACCCACATTAGCGAGATGTGCATTTTTTTGGTGGAAATACGTGAATAAGGCTATAGTGTAGCATTATTAATATATTACAAATAATATCTTTAAAGGGATAGGCCTAGTCAATAATTGTGAACTGTCAACAGTTAGGTTATTGGTCTGTTTTGCAGTGCTTTATTGCATGCGTATTGTATATTGCCAAGTGCAATTTCATTCTTTTTCTGAAATAGGTCTACTGGAATGAGTGATAATGACCAACTGAACTTTTAGTGCGCCTCCGCTGCTCACTGTTCCAATATACAGTAGGTGGAGCTCTAACTCCAGATAATTTGGCGCCAAATCCAGTTCCGCGTTTTCCACTCCTCTCCAGTTTCCCCTCTTGCTCGCTATCCGCATCCTCCAGGCAGACAAGCAGGACTCGTTGCCCCCTCCTCATTTCTCCTATCCTCCCTTCTTTACGCCCACCTTAGCGTCCTCCTCTCTCCCCGCCCGCACGATCTCTCTCGGTCCTCCTGCAACGCAATGCAACGCTTCTCTCCTCCTCACTGGGGCTAATCAACCGAGCATCCACCTCGCCTCCAAATTGGTTTGTCATTTCTGACCCTGCTCTCTTCGTGTCTGTCTCTCTCTCTCCCCCTGTGTGCGTTGACCACGGCGCTGCTGCTCTGCTCTGCGCCTGTGGACCCTAGCACAGCCAAGTCTGTAAGAACGTAGAAGCGGTGAAGAGAGGGAGAAACGGGAAGGGATACAGACGGATAGAGGGAAGAGAGAAAGACTAACCTCCCATCGCAGCAGCAGTTTTCTAGTGGGCTCGCGTTTTGGACGTTACCCCTTGATTTGGATAGGTGCTTTGCCCCACCAGCAGTTCGTTTTTCAAGGACGTGTTTTTTCTGCATATTTAGGAAAGGACAGCCACATTTGCTTCGGGTGGGCAACCCCGTTTCTCCAATTTTGGCGATTTTCTAACGCAAAGGTATCACTGACTTCACTGCGCTGGATGTGTGTTCGCGCAAACAGCCCCAATTTCTTCTGCTGAGCTCACGGTAAGCATTGACAGCGCATCATATATGGTATTTTTTTACATGTTACCCGTATGCGTAAATGTGTCGCATGTGTCTGCCCATGTTGTAGTCTCTGGACACGGCACTGTGCCTACTTTGGTTCTCACGGATGCTCATGGGAATGTGGCCTGCTGCGACTATTCGACTTAAAGGGAGCAGTAAGCTAAGGTATATCTCGCACAGCAGTCCAGTGGTCTGTGGCTGGATGGGCGTCGCTACTATAATGGATATGTCGCCAACTAATAATCAACCAAGAATCTTTAGGTCTATTTTTTCACTACAGCAGCCAGTGCGTAAACATTCAGTGTTGAGCTATATCTGCAGTGACGATTCCTAGGTTCTGAAACATGATGCATTTAAGGGACTTTGCTAATCACCTACATGATTTGGAACTCCAAGAAATGCACGCGTGTCTGTCGTCCATCCCCTGTGCTCGTCTGTTGATGCGTAAAAATAAAAACAGCGGGCAGAAGCTTCTGTACATGTCAATCAGTCGTTGTTGCGAGTGACAGTAGTCCGTTCATGGTGATGACCTTGGAGTTAAAAACTAAAGGTTGAAAGGTGAAGCTGGTGTGTGCAAATGTTTAGTTCCATTTAGGTGCATTAAAACGCAATTTGGCAGACAACAATCCTACTGCTATTTGACCCTCGGTAGTCATTTGGTGTGCGTCTCCGCTGGGGTGGCTGCTGTGCGCACTGCCACATGAATTACTGTTTTGTGTGAGCAAACTCTTTGTGTGCGAGTCTCCAGTGCCGTTACGCATGGTCCCTACAGTATCTTGACTCATGAGGAAAAACAGAGCTAAAAAATAAATAGCTAAATACCTTAGAAAACATTTAAAGCCTTGTATTCAAAAAGATGGATTAATCAGGTCCCATTTCTGTCCTTGTAAAATGTTTATGGGGTTTATTGGATCATTGATGTTCTGGTGCCAGTGTAAGGGGTGCTAAAGAGTATACGGGGTCATCACCATATAGGTTAGCACAACGCTATGTTATGGCACCTGAGGCATTGCAATGTGCAACAGCTGCAGCCACACAAACTGCTGACAGTGGGTCTAGTGTGTCCTCTTTTAATTGGGTCACTGATTCATCTCACTTAACGTGGTACACAAAAACAAGCTTTTGTAAAGGCAAAAGATATGTGTGTGGGGAATTGGCTGAGATCTGTCTCCAGCTAATGAAACACAATATTTGCTTTAGATTTGGGTGGCTCCAATAACAGCAGCTATAACCCTGTAATAGGAACAGGCTCACCATTTAAATAAAGGAGGATCGCTGCCTGTTGAACATCACATCCCAATCTCAGAGATAATGAAAATAAACCGTGACAGGCAACACGATCCAATCCAGACAGACAATAACAAGCACATATTGAATATTAAGACAAGCAGCCATATCATTGGTTATCCTGGAGGCTCCATCTGCATTGTCAGGACTGGTTACAGTTGAGCTTAGTGCAAATCTGTGGGTTTTGTGCATGTATTGTATGCCAGTGCAGGGATTACATTGCCAGTGTGATTATACAGTTTAATGACCTTATTGCAGGGTTTTTTTTGTGTTATCAATTTAACAGAAACTTGTGCTGGACATAAAAACTGCTCTTGTGCTTTTAGCAAGGCGATCGGAATATTTTTCTACAGGTTATTGGAGGATTGCAGACAATATACCTATCGATTACGTGTGTTTGTTTGAGTCATCCACTGCCCCAATTGGACCCGCTGAACTCGTCAACCTGTGTCCCATAGATGCCAGGCTTCCATTGAACTAAACATAATCACAGACATTTGCCTCATGGAGCAAATTTGCTATCAAAATAAATGTAGGACATTACATCAAAAATATGCACAAATAAATAAGTTATTTATATCAACATTGCAAATGTCAACATTGCAATATCTATTAAATGCCTTACGAAGTAGAACAGTTGCGCTGTTTCTTAATGTAGCGATGATTCACTTTCCTAGTCTTTGTGTGCAGAGTTTAACCTAATTCAAAAGACTGCTCCACTAAATGCTCTCTCCCCCACTCCCTCTCTTCTCTACAGTGCAGAAATAATGAGCTCGGATCATTGCTCCTTTCTCTCATCTCCCACCTAAAACACTGGGGCATGTGTTAGCGCTTCCTCCCCTCTACCCTCGGCCCTATTCAAAGTATAACCAGACTGGACTCTGTTTTCAACTGGCAGCTCACTTCACCTCCTCCTTAATGTGCGAAACTTGCTCAGATACTGTTCAGAGGTTCAGCGGGCAAGCAGTTTCTGCAGTAGCTCCTATGGCTTTTGGCTCGGAAATTGTACTAGTAAGGATATTTTATTCTGCGATATTGAGAGGCTGTCTCTACACCGAAACAATGTAGGTTAAATATGTGATTTGTACATTTCTCGGGATGTTTAGTGTTTGGTTAATAATGCATTGTGGTCTACGAGAAACATAAAGCCTCGCAAACTGTGTATCAAAAGTATGTTGTCAAAGTACTACTTATGAGTACATTTGTTGTTTTATTGACTCCTAGGCATGAACTCTGGAAAAACCTTGAGATGACTGAGTGTTCCATTCAACATACTTGTAATGCTGTCAGTACTGTTCATTCATTATTGTTATAGACAGACTATGAAGCAATTCTCACATCTTAAAGTTGTCTATAGATCACTTCATCATTACCTTCTGTTGGTCGTTCCATTCCATTGTGCTGTCACTTTGCACATAATGTAAGGCTGATAATGTAAGGCTGATATATGTTACAATTGTGTTGTCAAAGTGACTGTGGTGTTGTAGTTCTGAACTAATATGATTCCAGGGATCATATAGAAGTAGAGATCAACCAATTAGCTTTGCTGATATTTTTTAGCTAATCATGATTTTCTTCCCCAGATTATGTAATTTAAATTTACAAAAATCTCACCCACAGCCCTTCTTTCACTACAAACATATAAGAGAGCTGTGTAGTCACAGTTTCAGCAGTTATCTCTTTGCGCTAAAGTGTTTAAATAAAGCTCTATGGGTATTTTTAGGCTGCAGGTTATCCAAAACAAAATATTGGCCTGAGCCGGAGATCTAAAGCTGATATCCGATATGCTTAGGTCCAAATAACTGATATTTTGGTCTATCTCTGTACAGAAGCAAAACCACATGAAATACAGTAGTTTGCAAGTCGCAATATGCAGGATTAAGCATGTATATTTTTGCACCATATCTCATTATCTTGCTCATGCTCATGAAAAGCAACAAATTAAAACTGTGTTCTAAACAGTGGTGGATGAAGTGCAAATTTTTTTTGTTACTTAAGTAAAGTTAAGTAATATACAGATACGAGAGCAAAAAAATACTAAAGTAAAAGTATTGAATGAAAATATCTAAAACTATTAAAGCACTGTATTTCATGCATATTTTAAGTCTCATACTTAGACTTGTGCTGAATTTTGGCCAACAGAAGCAAATGACTTGATCTGTTCTTCCTAGCTTTTCACTCCTGTTCAAATATATGGAGGAGTAGAAAGTATAGATACCTGCTCTCAAATGTAGTGAAGTAAAAGTAACAAGTACAGATTTGTAAAAATGTATACTTAAATAGAATACTTTATTACTTTTACTTTGTCATGTTCCACCACAGTTTCTAACCTCTCTGATCTAAGCACTATTGTTCAGCTTGATCTGTCTGTTAGAACCCAAATATCTGCAGCTCATTGTTCCATTTCAGACCTCTCCTCCTTTCTGGGCCCATTATCTTTCTGTGCTACAAAGAAAACACTTGTCCTAACCGTCAACACTGCAGCTCCGGTCCGGCGCTTCTCCTCGCTGCCCTTCACCTCGGCGCGCCCCCTGTCACCACCGCCAACCCCCCCACCTCATCTACCCCCCAAACCTTTCCTCCCATGTGTTTGTTCCCGATAGCCCAAACATACATCAATTACTGGTATAGACACCCAGAGTATGGCCAGGGCCTGCAGCTGTTGTATTTAGCCACACACATACATGGGAGCATTAGTGAGATGAATACAAGGGTTCGCTGATTGTATGGCGTTTGCTCAAAGGTCTGGCAATTATTTTGGTCTCAACAGGAAATCATTTACAATAGCACTTCTGGCCCAAGAACCCCCCCCTTTTGCACTCTCTGCTATAGTCAAGTAGTATGTGAATGTGTGTGTGAATGTGTGTGTGTGTGTGCGTGTGTGTGTGTGTGTGTGTGTGTGGTGAGGGGAATTAATAATAGTGCCTCAAAATTTGAAACTTGAAATTGTAAATTGCTGTGATGTTTTTAAAAGGTTTATATTATGCTATTTTCTGATTGATGTTATAATATTGTTATCTCATCAAAAACATACCTGGAGTGGTGTTTTGTTTCGTTCACACACGTTAAACACACCTTGTATTTCATAACATCACAAGGTGGAATAAAGCATTTTGAGCTTAGGAGATGTGCACAGACTAATAAGAAAAGGATTACTCAAATACACGTGAATGAATGAAGCAACTCCAGGTATGTTTTTGATGAGGTAACAACATTATAACATGACTTAAAGCCTTATGTAAACCACTATATATATCACATTATTGCATAGTGTACCAGCTCAATAATTTTGACCTCTTAAAATAAAAAAAAATTATAATAAAAACCTTTATGATTTCTGTAATTGTTAATTTTTAAAAAAGTAACTACCCCTATATAATAAATGACTTAAAGCAACTATATAAATCTATAGTAATATAGTAGGGATGTAATGATATCCAAATCTCACGGTTCAGTATTTTCACAATATACATTTCACTCACGGTACGATATTTATTGTGATATTTTGTGGAAGCTAGCAAAATTGTGAATATGCTACTTTTTCCTCTTAAAATGCCTTGACAAGATTTAATTCAAAGAACTAAGCTTTAAAAGTGCTTAGAACTACTATTTCTTCATGTTGTTTGCACCAAAACGGAGCAAAGGATCATGGTTCCCTCTGTTTTTTAAGCTACTGTTGCACCATGACAATG